ATCACAGTCATTGAAAATGGAGTTGCCACCTGAAGTTCTCATCGAGAAAATCTCTTACTTGCCCTTCAAGCAAGCTGCACGATTGAGCCTCGTCGCGAAGCGTTGGAGGAATCTTTATCGGGAAATGAAGAACATCGTCTTCAAAGAATCCGATTTCGCGAAAGACCTCTTCTCATACGACACAGGCACAACGCACGAGAGAGTTTCCTTTGTTCATCGTATGGAGCAATGGATCTCGAGATTCCCCGGTAACTCCATCAACAGATTCGAAATTTATTTCCCCGCACCATACGGTTTCCAGGAAACGATCGCTTCTCTCGTCGACATGGTACTCTCCAAACAAGTCAAGATCCTGGTTCTTGATTTCTCGCACCCTGAAACCAGTATTCACTATCACGTCGCCGACGTCGTTTTGCCTGGTTGCGTCTACGATCAAACAACAACAATCGAGTCGCTGAAGCTCATCTCTTGCTCCCTCGATTCCTCCAAGTTCAAGAACTCGACGGTGCTAAGAAGCCTCACGATTGGTCGACTCGATCTCAAAGATGTCACGATCATGCTCTCAAATTTTCCTTCGCTCGAGTGCCTGAGATTCGTAAACTGCTTGAGCCTTGACTACTACGTTATGTTCACGCTGAACCAGCGATTAAGAGAATTGGTCTTTGAAGATTGCGACTTCTCTCCGTCGTATTGCACGTTGGAGCTGCCTCAGGTAGTGATCGTCAAGTGTTCGGGGAATCTTCCTTGTTTCACCTTCCATGGAGTTGTTAGCGAGAGGATGCAAGAAGCCGAGTTAGATTTCTGGTTAGAAGGAGCAAGCGTTTATAGAACTGAAGTAGATCTTGGTAAGCTCTTAAACGGAGTTTCTCATGCCAAAACCCTAACAATTTGCTCTTTTGCCCTTCAGGTACGTATATCTTTATTGTTTATTTTGACATTATAGAGATGATAACGTACATTGCAAGTTTCTTATGACTCTTCTTGTTTTTTATTTGTTGGGGAAGGTGATTCCATGTGACGATGGCGGATTGTTATCTAGTTTCGGAACACGGCATTTAGTGATGAGAACGAATCTTCATCCGTATGAGCTCACTGGGATTAGTCTCATGATCCATAAATGTCCTCTCTTGGAGTCTCTCACGCTGCAAATCGTTCCTCCAAAACTAATGGAGGTGGTTATTTTTATGTATTTGATTCATAAATGGATTTTTTGTGTTTGTTTTTGAAGTATTGATGATCACTTTGATATGTTGCAGGTTTTGTTACCAAAGGAGTTTAACGCAGATACGTATTGGCTCGACGAGATTACGCACGAGTGCTTGGAGAAGACGCTAAAGGTCGTTGTGGTGAGGGGTTTTGGTAACTTGTACGAGTTACAAATACTGACCTACTTGGTTAAGCATGGGCTTGTGTTGGAACGGCTTGACCTTTACATGAGCGAAGATGAGATGCTTCGAGTACAGATGGCTCTGCTGAATGTCCCGAGAGGTTCGAGCCGCTTACAAATCACTCTACACAACGCTTGAATGGAGCCATCTTAATTATGCTTGTGTTTTTACTTTTTAGTTTGAACTACGTAGTTACTGGATTTATTTTGACTAGCTAGGGAAAAAGAATATGTGGAGTTCGAAGTTTCATGTAATTGTTGGATTGGATGAAACAGCATTTATATTTATGGACTAATTTCGTTTTTTCTTGCTTAAGTTATAACTTGTAACGATCCATTTTAGATGCCACGTGGAACAATGCGTCTTAACCACATTGTGTTTCAAGTTTCAACTGTGTTTTATTAAAACTAAAGGATGTTAACTGACCTTTAATTTCAATTAATACTGTCATTGCGTGAGAGAGAGAAAAAAAAAAATTTCCAAATATGAAAGATCTTGCCTGCAACATTAATACATTGTCTCCTTATAAATCCAAAAACCGCTATGATCTAAGCAGAGAGTTGGAGAAATAAACGAGAGGATGCAAGAAGCTTTATTGGATTTTCGGTTAGTAGGAGAAAGCGTTAGTAGAACCAATGGAGATCTTGGTAAGCTCTTAAACGGAGTTTCTCCAGCTAAAAACCCGAACAGTTTTGCTCTATCGGTAAAACCTTTAAAAGGGTTATTAACAATTTTTAATAATAATATTTCTATCACCCTCTTCTAAAAACTAAAGATGGAGATCTTAATTTTTTTGCTCTCCCATCGGTATAACCTTGAATAGGGTTTTAAAAAAATATATATATATATTATTAAAAATAATTATATTACAAATGCAACTTCAAAGTAACTAACCAATATAATCATGTCTCAAAGACAATAACCAAGTAACCAAACCAATGTAATCATGCCTCAAAGATGTTGAATGATTTTCACAAGATAGACGTTATTATACAGCTTGGCTATGCAGGGAAAACATTCGTCGTGGTAGAAAACCCAAAAGAAGACAAAGGAAAGCAACAAACCTGTGTACCTAGATCACCAATTGCCAATCGAGCGTGTGAGAAAAATGGAAGGAGCCAAGTCAAATAAGGCCAACAGATGCTTACTTGAAGTGAAAAAATAACACAAATAGCCAAAAAATCTAACCTAATGTCAGTGTTTTCCTTCTCTGTTTTCAACTCCAGTTCTATGTTCAGCAAGAGAATTTTGGGGTTAAGAAACTTCTTTGGCTGTTGTTCAAAACCAGCATATGAGAATGTCTTTTATGAAAGATACACCATCAACTAAGAAAGAGTCTCGCATATTACCACCAGGAACCTGCAGAGAAATCCATTAGTTAGAAACATCATAATGGAGATGTCCTTTACTGGACTTGGATGCTGACAAATCCCAACCTAAGATCGATCTGTTATGGATATCAATCATCTAGCACTATACGTCTATACCCATCCCCATTTATCCAAAACGAACTGGACTACAGAAATGAAATGCATAAAAAGATGTAGGAATGCAGCAGATGGACTATTTGTGGCAAATTATTGCAACTGGAATACTGCTAGATAACAACTAAATGCTATGCTATTGGATTTTGCAAAAGCACAAGATTGGACACAGATCAAAGACGTTAACCAATTAAAAAAATCTTACCAGAATACAAAAGAATGAAAGAAACGCAACATCTTTGTACAATAAGAAGAAAAACATGATTTCTTAACCTTTTTGATCCCAATCAGTTTAGCCTGTCGTTATCTCCAATAGCCATTGCAGAAAAAAACTCCTTTTTCTCCACCAACAAGCTTAGAGGAAAGAGGCGTAGCAGCACATTTAGCCAACAAACCTTTCTTTTCCTCTACACTTTTCCCCACAATGCTAACAGCGAGTTCTTTGAACTTCGCAATTGCCTATACCACCAATGCTTAACGTAGTTGGCTAGTTCTACACAAAGTTCCCAATTCATCAAATTTCTGAAATCTATAGTTAGTTATTGTTCAAGCGACACTCTTAACCCCAAAAATGAATTGTCAAGTCAAAGTATTTCAACGAGGGAGAAGAGAGCAAACCTGAAAAATTCGCGTCTTAATGTAAATCGTTTGGCGGGGCATGACTGATTCAAATAAACAGAGACTCGTCTCATTGCCCCGTTGACGCTGAATTCTCTCACTCCTTTCGGGAATATCCCCAACGGAAATCCGTTCACCTGAAGGATGTCGTATATAGATTCCGTCTCGGCCAATACGGCTGAGATAGCGATCACGCCGGCGAGCAAGAAGATGGAAGCGTGGATGGAAAATGGAGAATGCGACGGAATCGTGAAATCGATTTGTCAGAACGTCATTAAACGTCCGCTTGACACGTGGTGGTTTTTAAGTTAGGAAAAAAGCTAAGCTAAAACTCCGATTTAGTATATTATTGGATTAAAACTTTATTTAAATCACCTATTAACTTTAAAACCTTGTTTAAATTGAGGGAGGGAGATGCCCTAATCCTAGAAAATAAAATTATAATATTATCTTCATCCTAGAGAATGAAAATGCCATAGTCCTTGTTTAACAATAAAGATATATCATCTAAATTTTTTCAATAATGATTAGTTTATATCATCTAATTTTTTTCGTTAAACAACAAAGATATATCATGAAATTGTAATATATTTTGTTGTTATTTTCCACAGAAAATGTTTTTTTTTTTAATTTCTTAAAGTAAAAACTAACTATATACATAAAGAGAATTAGCAAGAAAATAATAATTTTAGTATATTTTTAGTCATAACTTAGAATTTTGAATTTTGCTGTAAATATTACTGTAAATAATAGAACTATTAAGTTGGTTACGAATATATAGTATTTAGTTTATAGTAAGAGATCCAATAATTGTGTACATTGGATGAACTTACAGTAAGAGATCTAATATTTAGTATCATCACAAATACATGAATTATTATGTTGCCATTATTTTGACATATATAGTAATTAATATACATAAACGAAAAATGTAAGCTAAGAAATATTATTCTTTTTAGCTATAATATTACATAGTAAAGAATACTATAATCTGGCTTTTTCGATATATCATACATAAATGAAGTCCATTGGAATATTTACAGAAAGTTTGACATTTTCATGATTGGGCACTCAAAAGCATTACCAATTGCAAATGTATCGATTGACATTCCTTCTTGTGCTTTGATGATACGGACACATATGATCGTGATTTCTTCCGAGCATCCATGTTGTATCATGTTTATCAAACATAACCTCCATTAACGGATTGACTAATTATTTTCAAAAGAGTTCACCAAATTGCTTCAACTAAAAAAAATTTGATCACAATCAAACATGATACTAAAGATTTAAAACTTTTTCAGAATTGGGTTTAAACTTTAAAGAAAGACAACAAGTCAAGAAGAGATTTAATTTTGTAGCATTAATATAAACAAATATTTTACAAAACACCATCAATACCGGAGAATAAAATATGAGCGATAAAAGTGAAGATTACACTAATCTTCAAATCTTATTAAATTATGTCCACTATAGTTCTCGCCGCATGTAGGACAAGAATGGTCACCGGCTACAACGATATATCTAAAGATGCATCTCTTGTGGCAGAAATGTGCACACGAATGGAAACCAATAACTTCATCAATCGAAGCGTGATAGATATTCTCACGACAAGCACCACAAGTCGTGTCAGCATTAACCCCCTAAATACAACACATGCCTTATATGTGTAGTTGGCCCACTGATTAGCTTGACTTCTAACATGCGTAGTGCAAAGGACTTCATAACCTACAATCTTAACAGGACGACCATCAAAATAATTGTCAATAACGGATAGAGCAGCCTCTGAAGGAACAATGTTCCATCCCCAAGTATGACCAAAAGTATCAATTAGGACTTTCCTCTGATCCTCCGGCGGTTGAACTCCTTCAATGGCTAGACGTAGACTACTTCTACTAGTCATTGCCCTCTCTGGTAACACTGAGTTGGAGACATATATGGGGATATATGAATACTGATTAATTAGAATATCATGTCATCCTTAAGATCTGTAAATAAACCTACTTGCCCGCATCCGAACGCGGAGAACAAGGTTCTGTCAGAAACTTCGATCTTGCGTGTATGCCATTATACCATCTGAGTGACTTCAACTGGCTCTAGATACTGGGGAACCATGATTAATCATGATTAACCATGATTAATGTTGCTTCACCGGCTACAACAATATGTCTAAAGATGCATCTCTTGTGGCAGAAATGTGCACACGAATGTAAACCAATAACTTCATCAATCAGAGCGTGATAGATATTCTCACGACAAGCACCACAAGTCGTGTCAGCATTAACCCCCTAAATACGGCACAGGCCTTATTTGTTTAGTTGGCCCACTGATTAGCCCGACTTCTAGCATGCGTAGTGCAAATGACTTCATAACCTACGATCTTAGCAGGGCGACCATCGAAATAATTGTCAATAACGGATAGAGCAGCCTCTGAAGCAACATTGTTCCATCCCCAAGTATGACCAAAAGTATCAATTAGGACTCTCCTCTGATCCTCCAGCGGTTGAATTCCTTTAATGGCAAGACGTAGTCCGCTAGATGTAGTCTACTTCTACTAGTCATTGCCCTCTCTCGTAACACTGAGGTTGAGACATACACTACAAAAAAATGTGTGTTTTACATCATTTATTTTATATATTTGTATTACTTGTAATTGATACAAATAAAATTTACATCACTTATATGACCGACCGTAAATGTGGTGATGCAAATAATTAGTATCAGTTTATTAAAAATCGATGTAAATATGCATAATATTTGCATCGATTTACAATTGATATAAATATATGTCAATTGAAAAAAAATGATGTTAATATTTTCAATTGTTAATATCATTTATTAAAATTAATGTAAAAATTAATATTAATATCAATTTTAGAAAATAATTTTAATAATTATATCATTTACAATTATCAATTAAAATTTACTAATATAACTGCTATATACCACAAAGAAGTAACCGATTCTTTTCTTCTTCTCTTTTCATAGATAGATTAAGAAAATATCGTTTACAGAGCATCCAATACAGAGAATCAATAGGATTCATAACAAAAACTATGAAACAAATGCTATCTAGAAGAAAATACAAAAACTACAAACCCTGAAAAAAAATTGAAATGGAGAAATGCTTCTTAGTCTCTGGTCAAGTCTTTGTTAGTTGAAGACTCGGAGCTTGCTCTCCCTCTCTTCTTCTTCTGTTGTATTTCTGGCTTCTGTTACACTTAACTTTTTTATTAATGTAGATCTTCAACAAAAAATGGAAAGGAATTTTTTTTGAAACAGATCGGAAAAGACAAATTAACATTGGCTCAAAGCCCATGAACCTGCAACGAGAAGTTGTAGTTGATTTTAGCAACGAACACTTGACCGGAGACACACTATGTATAACACTTCCTCCACTTTCTTCTCTTTTTGTTTTCTTACCATCCAAAACCAATTATATGTCTCTTTTGGTTCTTATTCTATTGTAAAGAAATAAAGAATCGGAGATCCTAGAAAAATAGAGACTTACAAAAAAAGAGAAAGAGGCACAATATCACTTAAAGGAACTAGGGTTTTCTGATTTTCTCTTTTGATTGGGTTGGGTTGGTGATGAATTTACTTCTGGATATTTGTTGAAATGCTAGTTAATTATTTTTGTCAAATTTAAACGTTTTTAAAAAATATATATATATTTACCAATCTATTACAGGTTGACATAATTACAAATTTATTAAAAGGAAAATATAATTCATAATTTTTATGATATTAATATAATTTTCATTAGCATCAGTTTTAAACTAATCTAAATTTTGTATCATTTTATTATGTGATGTTAACAAAATAAAAATATGTACATCAACTATCTAATCAATATAAATTTATATAATAAGATAATTTTGTTAAACCGATACAAATTAATAGATATTATATTAATTTATTAAATTGATGCAAAATTAGTTAATTACAACATCATTTATTTATAACTGATGCTAAATCATATATATTTACTTCAGTTATAAATAAATAAATGATTTAAAATAGTATCACTCAGTTTTGTGATACAATTTAAGTGATGCAATTCATCATTTTTTTTGTAGTGATATATGGAGATATATGAATACTGATTAATTAGAATATCATGTCATCCTTAAGATCTGTAAATAAACCAACTTGCCCGCATCCGGACGCGGAGAACATGGTTCTGTCAGAAACTTCGATTTTGCGTGTATGCCACTATACCATATGAGTGACTTCAACTGGCTCTAGCTACTGGGAAACCATGATTAATCATGATTAACCATGATTAATGTTGTTTCACCGGCTACAACATTATGTCTAAAGATGCATCTCTTATGGCAGAAATGTGCACACGAATGGAAACCAATAACTTCATCAATCGAAGCGTGATAGATATTCTCACGACAAGCACCACAAGTCATGTCAGCATTAATCCCCTAAATACGGCACAGGCTTTATATGTTTAGTTGGCCCACTGATTAGTCTGACTTCTAACATGTGTAGTGCAAAGGACTTCATAACCTATGATCTTAACAGGGCGACCATCGAAATAATTGTCAACTTGCTTAGTTTGGAGCGAAGAAAATGCTCAACGTATAAGTGCATCGCTGGCAGTAAAAAAAGCAGAGCTGAAGAATCTCAACTCTACTTACACTCAAACTAGCCGAGATCTTGTTAAAGCAAAATTAGAAATCAAACAGGCGAAGGAAGAACTAACAAGAAACCAGAGTGAATTGGACTCGAATAATTCTGCGATCGAGGAGTTCAAAACCAAGACAAGCACTTTAGTGGCTGAGATAGAGAGTTACATCAAGAAGCTTGATGATGTTTCAAAAGATTACAGTGCTTCGAAACTGACTTCGGAAACGCGAGCAGCTGCTGATGCAGAGGTCATAAGAAAGAAAGAGGAGGAGATTCAGCAGCTAAAAGAAAAGTTGCATGTTGCGCTAAAAGATGTAAATGAGAATAGAGAAAAAGTTATTGATTTGACCAGAAACAACCAACATTTTTTTTTTTTAATAAATATTAATCAATTCTAGCGAAGGTCTTAAAAATAAATTAAATAAATAAAATATCAATAACAAATAAATCAGCTCAGCGGAAGCAAATAATAATTAAACAAGTCTAGCAAAATAATGCAAAACAATAAAACAGTAAACATCCTATCATCCCCCTCTTCAGCCTTGATTCCGCGATCACACAAATCTTTTACCTGCAACACATTGGAATGGAGTTGCGTAAGTATTTAATAAATACTTAGTGAGGCAATCACTCTGCCTACGAGCCATTTACGCAATTTACTAGATATTTAATAATATTTATAAACTTCAATAATTATTAAATACCATTTTCCAATTATTAAATAATTTTTAATAATTAAAACTCAATTTCTCAATTATTAAATAATTCTCATAATTAAATAATAATTTTCCATATTTTAAAATAATTAAAATAATTATTTTAAACCAATTAATTAAATAAATATTATTTAATTAATTAAATCCGAATTAAATCTATTTAATTCCATTAAACCAATTAAATTCAATTAAACCAATATAAACCAATTAAATTCAATTGAACCAAGATAAACCAATAAATCAATTAAATTCAATTAAACCAATAAACCAGATTAAACCACACAAACACACAATTCATCACATGAACAACCAAAATATCATAAAAATAACAATTAAAACATAAACTCATCAAGAACAACCACAAACCAAATCTAATCTAGCAAATCACGGACCCACAGTCATGCACTCACCTTGACAATGATTGAAACTGAAGGAAAAAGGAAGACGATGAACAGTGCCGAATCGCGGATGAACAGTAACCCGTGAACAGTACCGATGAACAGTAACCCGTGAACAGTACCGATGAACAGTGCCGATGAACAGTAAAATTCGAAAATCTCTCCAAAAACTCAACTTTTCTCCTCTACAGCATCTGAACTCGAAAATTCTCCAAAGAGAAGACGGCTGCACTCTTTAAACTTGATTTTAGGGCTTTCTCCACTAAACCGACCCAAACCAATTCACTTAAATTGAACCGACAAAATTCCCAATTTTTATTTTTGGTTTATGGATGTTACAACTCTTCCCCACTAAACTGGATTCGTCCTCGAATCCCAACGCAAACGTCACAAAGACCACAAAACCCAACCTCGCAAGGCCGCAACACCGGAGATCCTCACTTGATCCCCGAGACAAACGTCATATCTTATGTCATAAACACGTTCCAAGAAAATTTCACTCCTAACTCATCATCCAAACACACCAAACAACTTGTACTGAGGCCCACTTGCACCCAGACAAGTCCACACCGGTCCGCACTGAGGCCCACTTGCACCCAGACGAACCCGAAAACGTCCATACTGAGGCCCACTTGCACCCAGATGAACTAAACTGCTTATACTGAGGCCTACTTGCACCCATATAAGCTACACTCAACTGAGGCCTACTTGCACCCAGAGAGTCTGCCAGAGAACGAAGTCTCCAAAAACATGATGAGTTATTCAGGATCGCAATCCTTAGAGTAAAAATTCCGGAAAATGTCTATAACCATAAGATTAGACCGTCTCACAACCAAAAACTGGTCAAACATGTGTAACATCCGAATACCTTTTCACAACACAAGGCAAAATGAGGAAAAACTGCATCTCATTAAAACTCCAAAATGTATATCGTTACAACGAAAACGAAAATACAATAACACCAAAGCCAAAAATAACAACTGAGGCTACAAAGATGAAATAAGCTCACTCCTCGACCTGCTTGTCGAACCACTTCCTGAACTTCAACTTCATCTTTGCCTCTGGCTCCCAAGTCTCCTCTGTAGAACCACTGCAATCCCACAAAATCCTCAGTAAGGGAATCCTCTTGTTCCTCAGAACCTTTTCCCTCCTCTCTAAAATCCTCATAGGCACTGCCGGCACTGTCAAATCTGGCTGAAGATCCTCTGGAATCCTAGCCACTAACTCCTCTGTAGGTGAAGACACTTCCTCAGCATCGACACATGAAAAACCTTGTGAAAGGCTTTCATAATCTCAGGCAACTCCAGCCTGTAAGCCAATGGCCCAACTCGCTCCACTACTGGAAACGGACCCATAAATCGCGGACTCAGCTTGTTCTCTGCTATGGATCTGTTAGGACCCCTCAACATAGCCATCTTGAGATAAACTCTATCTCCAACCTGAAACTCAAGCTCTCGTCTGCGTCTATCTGCATAACTCTTCTGCCTATCCTGAGCCTCCTTCATGTTCAGCCTCACAACACGAACCTTCTCTGTCGTCTCCTGAACATAAGTAGCTCCATACATGCTGCGCTCCCCCACTTGGGTCCAGCATAGGGGTGTCCTACATGGCCTCCCATACAAAGCCTCGAATGGAGCCATGCCAATACTCGCCTGAAAGCTGTTGTTGTATGCAAACTCAACTAAGCTTAGGTGATCTGCCCAATGGCCACCCCAATCCAACACACACATCCTCAGCAAATCCTCCAAAGTCTGAATAGTCCTCTCTGACTGACCATCTGTCTGCGGATGATAAGCTGTACTCAGATGCACCTTAGTGCCCATCTCTGCCTGAAACGCCCTCCAAAACTCTGAAGTGAATCTGGGATCACGGTCTGACACAATACTAGCTGGCACTCCATGCAGCCTCACAATCTCTCGCACAAACTTCCTAGCCAAGACAGCAGCTCCATCTGTCTTCTTGATGGCCAAGAAATGTGCAGACTTAGTCAACCGATCCACAATCACCCAGATAGCATCGAAAGTCCTTGAAACAGGTAGTCCAACCACGAAATCCATCGTAATCCTGTCCCACTTCCACTCGGGAATGGGTAAACTCTGCAAAAGACCACCCGGAACCTGATGCTCTGCCTTCACCAAGGCACAAGTGTTGCACTTCGCAACCCATCTGCTACATCCCTCTTCATCCCGACCCAATGATAGTACCTCTTGAGGTCATGGTACATCTTGGTCGCTCCCGGATGAATGGAAAACTTGCTCGCGTGAGCCTCTCCCAAAATCTGATGTCTCAACTCCACATCCTTAGGCACACAAACTCGCCCACGAACCAAGATAGTCCCATTCGCAGAGACCTCATACTCAGAACCAGTCACTCTCGTCGCATCTAGCAAACTCTGATCACTCTGCTGAGCAACTCTGATCCTGCTAAGTAGATCCGCCTGATCCACTGCCTCTAAACCCAAAGGCTCCTGCGAAATGGCACACAAACGCAAGGTACTGATCTCGCCAACTAGAGACTCCACATCTCGCTCAACTGCGGAATCATACCTCCGTCTACTCAACGCGTCCGCCACTAGGTTAGCCTTGCCCGGATGGTAGTTAATGCTCACCTGATAGTCCGCCAAGAACTCAACCCAGCGCGTCTGTCTCGCGTTCATCATCGGCTGAGTGAAGATATGCTGCAAACTCTTGTGATCCGTGAAGACCTGTACTGTCTCACCTAGCAAGTAAGACCTCCAAATCTTCAACGCGAAGATCACTGCTCCCAACTCTAAGTCATGTGTAGGACGGTTACGCTCACTGCCCTGCCACTGTCTCGAAGCATATGCTATCACTCTGCCCTCCTGCATCAGCACACAACCAAGACCAATGCCTGAAGCATCTGTATACACCATGTAAGGCTTCCCTGGCTCGGGTAACGCCAACACTGGTGTAGTAGTCAACATCTCCTTGAGCTGACTAAAGCTCTCCTCACACTCAGCTGACCAAATAAAAGGGACATCCTTCCCGGTCAACTTCGTCATCGGCTGCGCCATGGTAGCAAACCCCTTGACGAACCTCCTGTAGTATCCTGCCAAACCCAGAAAACTCCTGATCTCGGTGGCACTACTAGGTCTAGGCCAATCTCTGATAGCCTCAATCTTAGCCGGATCCACAGAAACTCCCTCTGCAGAAACAATGTGGCCAAGAAATCCCATCTCTCGCTGCCAGAAACTGCACTTGCTCAACTTAGCAAAAAGCTTCTGCTCCCGAAGCTTCTCCAGAACCAACCTCAAGTGAGTCGCATGCTCCTCCTGACTCCTCGAGTATACCAGAATATCATCAATGAAAATGATGACAAACACGTCCAAATACTCCCTGAACACGTCGTTCATCAATCTCATGAAGGCTGCCGGCGCGTTAGTCAAACCGAAAGGCATAACCACAAACTCAAAATGCCCATAACGCGTCCTGAAAGCAGTCTTCCTGACATCTGCCTCATCTATCGGGATCTGATGATACCCCGATGCCAAGTCAATCTTGGAGAACCAAGTAGCACCCCTCAACTGATCCAAACTCATCAATCCTCGGGAGTGGGTACCTGTTCTTCACAGTGACTCGGTTAAGACCTCTGTAATCGATACAAAGTCTGAAACTGCCATCCTTCTTCTTCACAAACAACACCGGTGCTCCCCACGGTGAAACACTTGGTCGAATGAACCCCTTAGACAAAAGGTCCTCTATCTGCTTCTTCAGCTCTGCCAACTCAGCTGGCGCCATCCTGTAAGGCGTCTTCGATATCGGTGCTGTCCCCGGCTCTAACTCAATCGTGAAAGGATCAGACCGAGATGGTGGTAATCCCTTCAGTGACTGAAAGACATCCTCAAAATCCTGGACAACCTCAATATCTCCCATAACAACTCCAGCTCCTGACTCAGACATAGAAATCGTCGCCAGATACGCCTCACAGCCCCGCTCTAACAACTGCTCGGCCTGAATAGCAGATATCACAATACTCCCGGAAGTCGGTCTCACTCCCTGATAAACCAACCTCCCTGCATCTCGCTCGAAGACCACTCTACCTCTGTAGCAATCCAGATGAACTCTGTAGTGTGACAACCAGTCCATCCCGAGAATAACGTCATACAGCTCCACCGGACTGATGACTAAGTCTGCTGGCATTGACTGCCCCGCAATCTCGATCTCGACTCCTCTAGCACGGCCCAAAGTAGACAAGAATCCACCTCCCGCCACCTTGACCATGCCCGCGCTCTCGCCCGCGCTACTCCGGATGCCACTCTTCTCGGCACGCTCCGGTGTAATGAAGCAATTCGATGCTCCAGAGTCGAATAAAACGTGGGACTCAAAACCGCCCACTAACAAGGTCCCTACACATTCAATTGCGTTGAGAACCTCCACAAGACTATCACAGATAAAAATGACTAACAGACAATACACAACAACAATTCTATACTAAGAATTTACAAAGTCTGAGTCGAAGATTTACCTGTGATCTGTCCGGTCTGACTAGTCCCGCCAGTCTCCACCGAAGAGTAACCCCGCGGCGCCGGTGCAATCTGACCCAACGGCTGCACTGCTGCGATCTGACTCACTGGCTGAGCCGCTACTGGCTGAACCGAAGCCACCGACATACTCCGCAACTTAGGACACATGGGCTTGATATGCCCAGGCTCCTTGCAGTAGTAGCACACTCTCGGTGCTGACTCTCTCTTGGGACAACTCGAAACACGATGCTCCGTACTCCCACACCCAAAACAGGAACCACGAGGAAACTGACTAGCACCAGAAAACTCCTCTCTACTCCTCTTCTGACCCTGCGCAGGCAAACCGCCCCTGCCAGAACCAGAACTGAAACTCGAACCACCTGCGCTGCTGCTGCTGCTGCTGTCGCGGCTGCTGATGCTGACCCCGAGGCTGGGTAGCAGAAGCAACTGCTGACGGCACAGCCGCCGGACCAACTGGCCCACCAAGATCCGCCTCAACCGACGCGGCCAACTCTACCAGACTCGCCCTCGAAGTGTGCATACTACTCCTGCATAGAGTCCGAATATNTTCATCCCCCTCTTCAGCCTTGATTCCGCGATCACACAAATCTTTTACCTGCAACACATTGGAATGGAGTTGCGTAAGTATTTAATAAATACTTAGTGAGGCAATCACTCTGCCTACGAGCCATTTACGCAATTTACTAGATATTTAATAATATTTATAAACTTCAATAATTATTAAATACCATTTTCCAATTATTAAATAATTTTTAATAATTAAAACTCAATTTCTCAATTATTAAATAATTCTCATAATTAAATAATAATTTTCCATATTTTAAAATAATTAAAATAAACCAATTAATTAAATAAATATTATTTAATTAATTAAATCCGAATTAAATCTATTTAATTCCATTAAACCAATTAAATTCAATTAAACCAATATAAACCAATTAAATTCAATTGAACCAAGATAAACCAGAATCAAATCAATTAAATTCAATTAAACCAATAAACCAGATTAAACCACACAAACACACAATTCATCACATGAACAACCAAAATATCATAAAAATAACAATTAAAACATAAACTCATCAAGAACAACCACAAACCAAATCTAATCTAGCAAATCACGGACCCACAGTCATGCACTCACCTTGACAATTGACTGAAACTGAAGGAAAAAGGAAGGACGATGAACAGTGCCGAATCGCGATGAACAGTAACCCGTGAACAGTACCGATGAACAGTAACCCGTGAACAGTACCGATGAACAGTGCCGATGAACAGTAAAATTCGAAAATCTCTCCAAAAACTCAACTTTTCTCCTCTACAGCATCTGAACTCGAAAATTCTCCAAAGAGAAGACGGCTGCACTCTTTAAACTTGATTTTAGGGCTTTCTCCACTAAACCGACCCAAACCAATTCACTTAAATTGAACCGACAAAATTCCCAATTTTTATTTTTGGTTTATGGATGTTACAACTCTCCCCACTAAACTGGATTCGTCCTCGAATCCCAACGCAAACGTCACAAAGACCACAAAACCCAACCTCGCAAGGCCGCAACACCGGAGATCCTCACTTGATCCCCGAGACAAACGTCATATCTTATGTCATAAACACGTTCCAAGAAAATTTCACTCCTAACTCATCATCCAAACACACCAAACAACTTGTACTGAGGCCCACTTGCACCCAGACAAGTCCACACCGGTCCGCACTGAGGCCCACTTGCACCCAGACGAACCCGAAAACGTCCATACTGAGGCCCACTTGCACCCAGATGAACTAAACTGCTTATACTGAGGCCTACTTGCACCCATATAAGCTACACTCAACTGAGGCCTACTTGCACCCAGAGAGTCTGCCAGAGAACGAAGTCTCCAAAAACATGATGAGTTATTCAGGATCGCAATCCTTAGAGTAAAAATTCCGGAAAATGTCTATAACCATAAGATTAGACCGTCTCACAACCAAAAACTGGTCAAACATGTGTAACATCCGAATACCTTTTCACAACACAAGGCAAAATGAGGAAAAACTGCATCTCATTAAAACTCCAAAATGTATATCGTTACAACGAAAACGAAAATACAATAACACCAAAGCCAAAAATAACAACTGAGGCTACAAAGATGAAATAAGCTCACTCCTCGACCTGCTTGTCGAACCACTTCCTGAACTTCAACTTCATCTTTGCCTCTGGCTCCCAAGTCTCCTCTGTAGAACCACTGCAATCCCACAAAATCCTCAGTAAGGGAATCCTCTTGTTCCTCAGAACCTTTTCCCTCCTCTCTAAAATCCTCACAGGCACTGCCGGCACTGTCAAATCTGGCTGAAGATCCTCTGGAATCCTAGCCACTAACTCCTCTGTAGGGTGAAGACACTTCCTCAGCATCGACACATGAAAAACCTTGTGAAAGGCTTTCATAATCTCAGGCAACTCCAGCCTGTAAGCCAATGGCCCAACTCGCTCCACTACTGGAAACGGACCCATAAATCGCGGACTCAGCTTGTTCTCTGCTATGGATCTGTTAGGACCCCTCAACATAGCCATCTTGAGATAAACTCTATCTCCACCTGAAACTCAAGCTCTCGTCTGCGTCTATCTGCATAACTCTTCTGCCTATCCTGAGCCTCCTTCATGTTCAGCCTCACAACACGAACCTTCTCTGTCGTCTCCTGAACATAAGTAGCTCCATACATGCTGCGCTCCCCCACTTGGGTCCAGCATAGGGGTGTCCTACATGGCCTCCCATACAAAGCCTCAAATGGAGCCATGCCAATACTCGCCTGAAAGCTGTTGTTGTATGCAAACTCAACTAAGCTCAGGTGATCTGCCCAATGGCCACCCCAATCCAACACACACATCCTCAGCAAATCCTCCAAAGTCTGAATAGTCCTCTCTGACTGACCATCTGTCTGCGGATGATAAGCTGTACTCAGATGCACCTTAGTGCCCATCTCTGCCTGAAACGCCTCCAAAACTCTGAAGTGAATCTGGGATCACGGTCTGACACAATACTAGCTGGCACTCCATGCAGCCTCACAATCTCTCGCACAAACTTCCTAGCCAAGACAGCAGCTCCATCTGTCTTCTTGATGGCCAAGAAATGTGCGGACTTAGTCAACCGATCCACAATCACCCAGATAGCATCGAAAGTCCTCGAAACAGGTAGTCCAACCACGAAATCCATCGTAATCCTGTCCCACTTCCACTCTGGAATGGGTAAACTCTGCAAAAGACCACCCGGAACCTGATGCTCTGCCTTCACCAAGGCACAAGTGTTGCACTTCGCAACCCAGTCTGCTACATCCCTCTTCATCCCGACCCAATGATAGTACCTCTTGAGGTCATGGTACATCTTGGTCGCTCCCGGATGAATGGAAAACTTGCTCGCGTGAGCCTCTCCCAAAATCTGATGTCTCAACTCCACATCCTTAGGCACACAAACTCGCCCACGAACCAAGATAGTCCCATTCGCAGAGACCTCATACTCAGAACCAGTCACTCTCGTCGCATCTAGCAAACTCTGATCACTCTGCTGAGCAACTCTGATCCTGCTAAGTAGATCCGCCTGATCCACTGCCTCTAAACCCAAAGGCTCCTGCGAAATGGCACACAAACGCAAGGTACTGATCTCGCCAACTAGAGACTCCACATCTCGCTCAACTGCGGAATCATACCTCCGTCTACTCAACGCGTCCGCCACTAGGTTAGCCTTGCCCGGATGGTAGTTAATGCTCACCTGATAGTCCGCCAAGAACTCAACCCAGCGCGTCTGTCTCGCGTTCATCATCGGCTGAGTGAAGATATGCTGCAAACTCTTGTGATCCGTGAAGACCTGTACTGTCTCACCTAGCAAGTAAGACCTCCAAATCTTCAACGCGAAGATCACTGCTCCCAACTCTAAGTCATGTGTAGGACGGTTACGCTCACTGCCCTGCCACTGTCTCGAAGCATATGCTATCACTCTGCCCTCCTGCATCAGCACACAACCAAGACCAATGCCTGAAGCATCTGTATACACCATGTAAGGCTTCCCTGGCTCGGGTAACGCCAACACTGGTGTAGTAGTCAACATCTCCTTGAGCTGACTAAAGCTCTCCTCACACTCAGCTGACCAAAAAAAGGGACATCCTTCCCGGTCAACTTCGTCATCGGCTGCGCCATGGTAGCAAACCCCTTGACGAACCTCCTGTAGTATCCTGCCAAACCCAGAAAACTCCTGATCTCGGTGGCACTACTAGGTCTAGGCCAATCTCTGATAGCCTCAATCTTAGCCGGATCCACAGAAACTCCCTCTGCAGAAACAATGTGGCCAAGAAATCCCATCTCTCGCTGCCAGAAACTGCACTTGCTCAACTTAGCAAAAAGCTTCTGCTCCCGAAGCTTCTCCAGAACCAACCTCAAGTGAGTCGCATGCTCCTCCTGACTCCTCGAGTATACCAGAATATCATCAATGAAAATGATGACAAACACGTCCAAATACTCCCTGAACACGTCGTTCATCAATCTCATGAAGGCTGCCGGCGCGTTAGTCAAACCGAAAGGCATAACCACAAACTCAAAATGCCCATAACGCGTCCTGAAAGCAGTCTTCCTGACATCTGCCTCATCTATCGGGATCTGATGATACCCCGATGCCAAGTCAATCTTGGAGAACCAAGTAGCACCCCTCAACTGATCCAACAACTCATCAATCCTCGGGAGTGGGTACCTGTTCTTCACAGTGACTCGGTTAAGACCTCTGTAATCGATACAAAGTCTGAAACTGCCATCCTTCTTCTTCACAAACAACACCGGTGCTCCCCACGGTGAAACACTTGGTCGAATGAACCCCTTAGACAAAAGGTCCTCTATCTGCTTCTTCAGCTCTGCCAACTCAGCTGGCGCCATCCTGTAAGGCGTCTTCGATATCGGTGCTGTCCCCGGCTCTAACTCAATCGTGAAAGGATCAGACCGAGATGGTGGTAATCCCTTCAGTGACTGAAAGACATCCTCAAAATCCTGGACAACCTCAATATCTCCCATAACAACTCCAGCTCCTGACTCAGACATAGAAATCGTCGCCAGATACGCCTCACAGCCCCGCTCTAACAACTGCTCGGCCTGAATAGCAGATATCACAATACTCCCGGAAGTCGGTCTCACTCCCTGATAAACCAACCTCCCTGCATCTCGCTCGAAGACCACTCTACCTCTGTAGCAATCCAGATGAACTCTGTAGTGTGACAACCAGTCCATCCCGAGAATAACGTCATACAGCTCCACCGGACTGATGACTAAGTCTGCTGGCATTGACTGCCCCGCAATCTCGATCTCGACTCCTCTAGCACGGCCCAAAGTAGACAAGAATCCACCTCCCGCCACCTTGACCATGCCCGCGCTCTCGCCCGCGCTACTCCGGATGCCACTCTTCTCGGCACGCTCCGGTGTAATGAAGCAATTCGATGCTCCAGAGTCGAATAAAACGTGGGACTCAAAACCGCCCACTAACAAGGTCCCTACACATTCAATTGCGTTGAGAACCTCCACAAGACTATCACAGATAAAAATGACTAACAGACAATACACAACAACAATTCTATACTAAGAATTTACAAAGTCTGAGTCGAAGATTTACCTGTGATCTGCCCGGTCTGACTAGTCCCGCCAGTCTCCACTGAAGAGTAACCCCGCGGCGCCGGTGCAATCTGACCCAACGGCTGCACTGCTGCGATCTGACTCACTGGCTGAGCCGCTACTGGCTGAACCGAAGCCACCGACATACTCCGCAACTTAGGACACATGGGCTTGATATGCCCAGGCTCCTTGCAGTAGTAGCACACTCGGTGCTGACTCTCTCTTGGGACAACTCGAAACACGATGCTCCGTGCTCCCACACCCAAAACAGGAACCACGAGGAAACTGACTAGCACCAGAAAACTCCTCTCTACTCCTCTTCTGACCCTGCGCAGGCAAACCGCCCCTGCCAGAACCAGAACTGAAACTCGAACCACCTCTGCGCTGCTGCTGCTGCTGCTGTCGCGGCTGCTGATGCTGACCCCGAGGCTGGGTAGCAGAAGCAACTGCTGACGGCACAGCCACCGGACCAACTGGCCCACCAAGATCCGCCTCAACCGACGCGGCCAACTCTACCAGACTCGCCCTCGAAGTGTGCATACTACTCCTGCATAGAGTCCGAATATCCTTGCGAAGTCCCTCCAGAAATCTGTTCGTCAACTGATGCTCAGCCTCCATACCAAAGCCCGCATGCACTAACAGACGGCTGAACTCCTCATCATACTCGCGTACAGAACGCGAACCCTGCTCAATGCCCATAAACCGCATCTGAAGACGATCACGAGCCTGCCTCGGGAAATACTTGGCGTTGAACTCCACAAGGAAGTCGCCCCAAGTCCAAAATGCCCTCCGGCCCACCGCGGCCTGCCACCACAAATGAGCATCGCCACTCAAATAGTGGACCGCTAACTCCACCCAGTACTCTATCGGACAACGGATCGAATGAAAGTTCCGCTCCACTCTCTGACGCCACGCGTCTGCCTCCTCTGGACCAACTCTGCCCTCGAAGAAAGGCGTACCAATCTCTGCATGTGGCCCATAAACTCCAAATAACTGGTCACACCCGCATCCACAGCCTCCGGCTGCGCAACGCCTGCAGCAACATGCTGCACCTCTGCCACTGGCGGTACTCCTGGAGCCCCCTGTGGAACCACCGGCGGAAAACGAGCCAACAGCTGCGTCAGCAAACCCCACCACTAAGTCATCACGACCCGGAGCCGGAGCGCCACCCCCACCCGGAGCAGCCCCCGCTCCCAAACCAACACTCGCACTGGCATCACCCGCCAACGGAACTGACTGGGTCACCGACGCAGTATGCACACTCGGTGCCGCACTCTCTCCCGACTCCTCCGGAAGTCCACGACCACGACCTCGGCCTGCTCGGCCTCCAGCTCTACCACCAGCTCTGCCGCCACGGCCAACTCTGCCGCCACGACCTCTAGCACCGCGCCCTCTCGCGCCACGACCTCTAGGAGCTCCGTCCATCTCACTGCATGGACCCGAACATGAGCAACTAGACAATAACACAAAACACAAACACCAATAACTACCGCGGAATCTCCTTTAGCTGAAGGGGATGATACTAAGCCTAGCAATTCTAACTGTCCTAAAACCGTCTAGGCTCTGATACCAAAATGAAACAACCAACATTTTTTTTTTTTTAAATATTAATCAATTCTAGCGAAGGTCTTTAAAAATAAATTAAATAAATAAAATATCAATAACAAATAAATCAGCTCAGCGGAAGCAAATAATAATTAAACAAGTCTAGCAAAATAATGCAAAACAATAAAACAGTAAACATCCTATCATCCCCCTCTTCAGCCTTGATTCCGCGATCACACAAATCTTTTACCTGCAACACATTGGAATGGAGTTGCGTAAGTATTTAATAAATACTTAGTGAGGCAATCACTCTGCCTACGAGCCATTTACGCAATTTACTAGATATTTAATAATATTTATAAACTCCAATAATTATTAAATACCATTTTCCAATTATTAAATAATTTTTAATAATTAAAACTCAATTTCTCAATTATTAAATAATTCTCATAATTAAATAATAATTTTCCATATTTTAAAATAATTAAAATAATTATTTTAAACCAATTAATTAAATAAATATTATTTAATTAATTAAATCCGAATTAAATCTATTTAATTCCATTAAACCAATTAAATTCAATTAAACCAATATAAACCAATTAAATTCAATTGAACCAAGATAAACCAATTAAATCAATTAAATTCAATTAAACCAATAAACCAGATTAAACCACACAAACACACAATTCATCACATGAACAACCAAAATATCATAAAAATAACAATTAAAACATAAACTCATCAAGAACAACCACAAACCAAATCTAATCTAGCAAATCACGGACCCACAGTCATGCACTCACCTTGACAATGATTGAAACTGAAGGAAAAAGGAAGACGATGAACAGTGCCGAATCGCGGATGAACAGTAACCCGTGAACAGTACCGATGAACAGTAACCCGTGAACAGTACCGATGAACAGTGCCGATGAACAGTAAAATTCGAAAATCTCTCCAAAAACTCAACTTTTCTCCTCTACAGCATCTGAACTCGAAAATTCTCCAAAGAGAAGACGGCTGCACTCTTTAAACTTGATTTTAGGGCTTTCTCCACTAAACCGACCCAAACCAATTCACTTAAATTGAACCGACAAAATTCCCAATTTTTATTTTTGGTTTATGGATGTTACATGACCGAGAAGTACGAAGACTCGAAGAGACTGCTTGATATAGAACTGAGTAATGTACAAAATCTAAGATATGAACTTGCAGGAACAAGGAAAACACTTCAGGCATCTAGAGATCGGGGGTCTGACCTGGAAACTCTGCTTGATGAGTGTTAGAATCTTAGAGAGGTTATATCGAAAGAGGAGATATTGAAAGATGTTATATTGAAAGAGGTTATATGATGGCAAGGAGGAAACTCTAGTGTTAGAGTCTTAGAGAGGGATATTGAAAGAGTTCATGTATGTGTTTGAAAATATAACTCTTGTTTGAAGGGGTTTGAATATATATATACTGCATTTCATTTTTTATGTTTATTCTTGCGTGTGTAATAATGAGAAAAAAAAAACATGTGGCTGTGTGGAGAGAGAGAAGTAAAAGGAAAGAATATGTGGCTGTGTAGAGAGATAGAGACAGTAATAATGATAAAAGTTAAACATTAGATTGTGTAAGAAAAGAAAAGAAAAAAAACCTAGTGAGTAACAACTAACAAGTGGAATGAAAATATGTTTGCTAAACTTTTTACTTTTTAGCTATGTGTCTCACAAGTGGAGACATGGATCTTTTTATTTTTGGTTATGTATCTCATAACTCATAAGTGTTGGCAGAACAAGACAAAAACCATATGGTTCACCTTCTTTCCAGATGTACATTAAGATAAGTATAAGAGATATTCAATAGACGTCTCTATAAATGTAAACCATGTTGTATTAATAAAATTCAGAATTTAAAGTCCCTTCTTTCACACATTTAACTCGCCTACTTTTTCGCTTTCGCATTAACTCTTTTCTTTATTTCTTTTTTAATTTATACATACACAAGGTTTTATTAAAAGTAGGCTGATATGTTTACTGGATATACAAAGAAATTGATAAAATAAGTTTATATCATCTGAATTTTTTCGTTCAAACAACAAAGATATATCACGAAATTGTAATACAAAATAACCAAATACATAAGGAGAATATATATAGATCGATAAATTTTGATCACAATCAATGGCACTAACGACTTAAAATTTTTTCAGGATTGGGTTTAAACTTTAAAGAAAGACAACAAGTCAAGAAGAGATTTAATTTTGTAGCAATAAACAAATATTTTACAAAACACCATCAATAACTAGGAGAAATAAAATATGAGCGATAAAAGTGAAGATTACACTAATCTTCAAATCCTATTAAAATTATGTCCACCATAGTTCTCGCCGCATATAGGACAAGAATGGTCACCGGCTACAACGATATCTCCAAAGATGCATCTCTTGTGACAGAAATGTGCACACAAGTGGAAACCAATAACTTCATCAATTGGAGCGTGATAGATATTCTCACGACAAGCACCACAAGTCGTGTCAGCATTAACCCCCTAAATACGGAACGGGCCTTATATGTTTGGTTGGCCCACTGATTAGCTTGACTTCTAACATGCGTAGTGCAAAGGACTTCATAACCTACGATCTTAACAATGTGACCATCAAAATCATTGTCAGTAACGGATAGAGCAGTCTCTGAAGCAACATTGTTCCATCCTCAAGTATGACTAGAACTATCAATTAGGACTCTTCTCTGATCCTCCGGCGGTTGAACTCCTTCAATAGCTAGACGTAGACTACTTCTACTAGTCATTGCCCTCTCTGGTAACACTGAGTTAGAGACATATATGGGAATCTATGAATACTGATTAATCAGAATATCAGGTCATCTTTAAGATATGTAAATAAACCTACTTGCCCACATCCCGGACGCGGAGAACATGATTCTGTCAAAAACTGTGATCTTGTGTGTATGCCACTCTACAGTCTAAGTGACTTCAACTGGCTCATGGGTATTGGGGAACCATGATTAAACTACAAACAAAAAAACATAATAATTAGGTTAATTTCTATTTAGAATTTTTAGTGCTAGTGTTCTTGGTGCTCTCTATGCATTTGCTCGGAAGAATACAACAATGGTTGAAGAAACCATTGAATCTCTAAAGAGAAAATTATGATCCATTTATGTGCAGAATCTTTCGTGGAAAAATAAAATAAAATTAGCTTCATTCCAAACTGCAATCTAGGACTTTGCGGTCAACATGATGAGAATTTTCAAACGGATCCATTCCAAGTTCGGTTACATGGTTATTCTCTGAATATAATCAATTAAATCGACAACACTTCCTCAAATTTCTGTAAAATCGAACAATCCATGTCGAAAAACAATTAATCTTTTTGGTTCAAAAATTTATCATTTTTTGTTTATTTAGAAACGATTATAGATTTTTTCTAGATTTTTGGCTTAAAGATTTGTCAACCTATATCAAAAAGCAATTTCCTTAACGGCAAACAAATGTTTGTCTTGATAGTAGCAACAGCCACCATTATAGAGACTCTTTCAACCTAGAGAAAAACAAAAACATTGAGAGATAATATAGAGCAACCTAGAGAAAAATGAAAACATTGAGAGAGAGGAGAGATGAAATTAAGAGTTATAGATAGAGGGAGAGTGTGATTTCTTTTATAAACAAAAGGACATTATTTAAAATTAAAAAAAAAAGAGAGAAAAAAAAACTAAAAATTAATAGTCTATCATTTGCCATGATTTTAGACTATATTATTATTTGCCACTATAACTTATATATTTTGTGCATATAGTCACTTTAAATCACATTTATATTTGAGAAAAGTTATTAAGAAAGTTTACACCTATTTATGTTACCTTAGTGTGTTTATTTGTTAATTATTAAATTACTAAGTTTGAAGCCCCGCGCAAGTGTGGGGTTGTTTGCGATAGTTTTCTGTTTAGTTTTATCTATACTTGTTGATTTGAATTATGATGGTTTTGTATTAACTTTCATGTTTTTTGTTTATGTTTTGAGTTAACCCAATCACTAACATTAAAAATATGAACAATTTGTCTTTTATTTTATTTTATTAGGATGTTAACACTCCCACTTTATCTCGAGTTTTCTATTTCTAAAATTTTAGCATGTTATAAATATTATGTTTGTTTACTTCTGTTAGACTATAAACATGCATATGCATTGGACTCAACGTTAAAATTTGTAAGCATAATGTAAAATAGCATTTGGACCCGAAATAAGATGAAAAAAATAATATATATACTTTTTTACATATCTACTTTGTTGTGGTAGCATATGAGCCTCATAACCATTGATTATTTTCTATTATGTTAGTTTTGTAAATATTAATTATATTTTGAGACAAACATATCACAATCCTTAAAATTTTCATGTTTTTCACTGCAATTAAATTTACATATAAAAACTCGACTTCTATTTTTTTTAAAATAAACTCTAACTCTAATTTCTCATTGGCTTTTTATTATCTTAATTAATTTATATTCAACTTTTTAACTTGTAAACACATTATAACATTTTGAAATAGGATAAATTCTTTTAATAAAAAGGTAAATATATACCATTTCAAGTTACATATATTTTTACTTATATTCAAACTTTTTGATAAATTTTAACATCAAGTTATCACATATTTTATATTAATTAAGTAATTTAGTTGTGTATTTTTCTTAGTTTTATATTTAAAATATAAATATATGCAAAGAAATATGAAAAGTCATGTATTAAATATCTTAAAAACAATTTAATGAATTTTTTGTGCTGATGTGGACACTCTATATGGAGAGAGCAACTCCCTAATTATATATAAGATGCTTACATTCACAACAGAAATTAAATATATATATTTACTTAGTTTTGTTAAATTTTTTGTTTTTATCTTCTCTTTTCGTTTTTTCTTTTAAATGTGTATTGTTTTTATTCACCAAGAGATTTAGTATATTTTCATTCTTATGAACATGAACTTATGATGGACTCATTTATCACACAAAAAAAAGGAAAAAAACTTATGATGGATTCATTCAATTTTTCTTGATGATGATATTTTATCGAGGAAATTTCCAAAATACATTTTTTGGTGTAATTTTCAAAACTACACCTCTAAGTTGTCTATTTTCAAAACTACAATTTTTCATTGAGTAAAAGAACTCTAAACACACAATCTAAACCCTGAATTCCAAAATCTAACCTTAAACCTTTAAATCTAAACAATAAACCCGAAAATCTAAACCGTAGTTAAGGATTAGTGAAAATCTAAACCCTAGTTAAGGATTAGTGAATCCAAACTTAAATATTAAATTTAGAAAAAATGTAATTCTGAAAATTAACACCATAGATATGTAGTTTTGAATATTAACACCTCACAAGATGTATTTCTTAAAATTTCTCTATTTTATCGCTTTGCCAATATAATATTTTATCGAGAATGCCTTATTCTAATATAAAAACCACCACATTCGAAACATCATAACACTTACTTAAAATTTTATATATCTGTATATAAACATGATGACCAAACTATTTCTTGTAACTCGTAAGTCAGATCACCCTTCTAAACTAAGTCAGTTCTAACTGAAAAAAAAAAAAAAAAAAAAAAGTCAGTTCTAACTGCATATTCATAGTGAGTACTGAGTAGTGACCTCCACAATACCAAATCTGGCGTGCATATGTCTATTTATTGGTTGTTTGAGCAAGACCTTTGTGACTAAAGCCAACGATATTTTCTTCAAATGACACAGACCAGTCTTCAGTTCTCATGTTCTTATGTATCTAGACCTTTCTGTGGGTTATGCAGAAACTTACTCGCTTACACAAGATTAAATCCATTATTTGATTTCCTTCTCCATACTCGATATTTCTCTAACGCGAATTGTGTATTTGGCTAACAACTCTTGGCTAAATCTCGTAATTATACATAGATGCTTCCCTTTTTTGAAGTTGTGTTTCTACACTTAGATACCAAGGATAACAGTCCTTCCATCAGGATTTCCCTTTGACTTTGTTTCCCCCATCAAGCGATACAACTATGTGTCTTTCCCTCCGCATTCTTCTCGTTAACAAAATGGAAAACATTTTTTCCCTCCTCCTTATGGGCGAGAATGAAGCCCTAATATAATATGATGAGTTCTTGAATTATGGTGTTTGTCGATGAGAGCACCATATCTCATTTCTCTTATACCGATTTGTTTGACGGTTTCGTCGACATGCTACTTCCGGGATACCATATGAAACAGATTTGTGTCGGTTCGTTTTCGTTTTCTCATGGTAGAGTGTTATGACTTATGACTATGAATCTATCTCCGGTGTTTTTTATCAATTCCGTTGGTGGATGTGTCCAAACTCCAAATAGATTAATTTTCAATAACGATTTAATAGTCCTTTTACAACAAGAAAAAAAAACTTCAACAAAAAAAAACCATAGGATAGTTTTCAAAATTTTAAATGTAAATAGATTTTTTTTTTTTTTTTGTCGACCAATGGGGTATTTTACGCCATAAATGAATAGCTATGGTGGTGTAATTATTACAAAGCGCAAGGAACACGATCACAAGAATAATACCTTTAAATCTCGTACCAAACAATTAAAAAAGGGAAATGATATAGTTTTAAACGAAAAGCAAAACAGAGATACTATAAGATAAAAAAAAAGTAACAAGAAAACAGAGCGTTCTCTAAAACCACGATCGAAATCACGATCTCAGACTTCTCCGTCTTCTTCTCTGATTCCCTATGTTCTAAAGAATCCAAGAAGAAGATCACGATCGCGATCATGGTCAACGAAAATGGAGTTACCACCTGAAGTTGTGACGGAGATAATCTCTTACTTGCCCTTCAAGCAAGCTGCACGATTAAGCCTCGTCGCGAAGCGTTGGAAAAATCTTTATCGGGAAATGAAGAACATCGTCTTCAGAGAACCCGAGTTCGTGACGGTCCCGTTCACAGAAGAGGGAGGCACAACGCTCGAGAGAGTTTCCTTTGTTCATCGAATGCACCAATGGATCTCGACGACATTCCCCGGTTACTTCATCAACAGATTCGAGATTCATTTCCCCAAACCATACGGTTTCCAAGAATCGATCACTCCTCTGATCCAATTCGCAGTTTCAAAACAAGTCAAGATCCTAGTCCTCGATTTCTCAAACCCTAATTCTAAAGTTAACTATCGTGAAACCGTGTTCCGTTTACCCGGTTGCGTCTACGATCAAACAACAACGATCGAGTCTCTAAAGCTGATCTCTTGCTTCATAGACTGCACCAAGTTCAAGAACTCGACGGTGCTTAGAAGCCTCACCATCGGCCACGTCGTGCTCCAAGATCTCACAACCTTGCTGTCAAATTTTCCTTCGCTTGTCAGTCTGAGATTCGTAAGATGTTCTTGTGACGACTACGACGTTATGATCAGGGAATTTCGTTTCTTGCACCTTCGATGGAGATGTAAACAAGAGGATGCAAGAAGCTTTCTTGGATTTCACGTTAGAAGGACCAAGCGTTAGTAGAACCAATGGAGATCTTGGTAAGCTCTTAAAAGGAGTTTCTCCTGCTAAAACCCTAACAGTTTGCTCTTTTACTCTTCAGGTACGCATCTCCTTCATCGCTTATTCTGACTATTAGATGATAACGTGCATCGCAAGCTTTCTTATGACTACTTGTTTTTTGTTGTTGTGTTTTGAGAAGATGATCCCTTATGACGGAGAGGAACTGTTACCTAGTTTCGGAACACGGCACTTGGTGATGCAAACGAATCTTCATCCAGATGAGTTCATTGGGATTAGGCTCATGCTCGATAAATGTCCCGTTTTGGAGTCTCTCACGTTCGACATCGTCTCTGAAAAAACAACAATCTTGGGGGTCGGTTTTTTTTTATTCGTTATTGAAAGCATGTGTTAAAACAAAACTCATGTAACTGATGATGGTTTTGAATATGCATTGTTATTTGCAGGGCACAGTTTCGGCACCAGAGGACTTTAACGCAGATACGTATTGGCTCGGTGAGATTACGCACGAGTGTTTGGAGAAGACGCTCAAGGTCGTTGTGGTGAAGGATTTTGGTGACATGTACGAGCTGCAAATACTGACCTACTTGATTAAGCATGGGCTTGTCTTGGAACGGCTTGACCTTTACATGAGCGAAGATCAGATGCTTGGAGTACAGATGGCTCTGCTGAATGTCCCGAGAGGTTCGAACCGCTTACAAGTTACTCTACACACCGCATCAACTGATACATCCTAAGCTCTTTCCGGTTTGCTTTTTACATTTTAGTTACTCGATATTTTTACTCTTTTTGGTGTAAATGTAAAGATAGTTACTGGATTTGTTTGGCTAGCTAGGGGAAAGAGTTTGGAGAGTTAGAAATTTAGAACTGGATATATTTGTTCGACTTGATGATACAGATTTGTTTTTCTAGTTTCGGATTGGTTTGTAATGAGAGCTAAACTAAGCTCGAACCAAATGTATATTAAATTTTTCTAGCGAAAACAGGCTATGGAATATGATTTGTATAATTGTAGAGTGCCAAGTTGATTAATGATGTTCGTATCAGCTTTGTAAAACAGTTATCTACTTAAGTAGAGACGTCGAATTAAAATAAATAAAGATTGAGAAAGCAAAATCAAGTTAACAGGAAGTGAATAATGAAAATAGAACAAAAATGTTTTTTCTTTTGTCATCTGAAATTTTCATTACTAGAACATTGAAGGATACAAAATGTGTATACACACAGTAGTAAAAGAAATGGGAACGAATAAAGAAAAAGTAAATCAATGTCGCTTATAGAAGTGAGGTAACAAGAAAACAACCTTTTGTATGATAAATGAGAACATGCTGTATTTGTACGTAACCAAAACAGTGACAAAATAAAGAGATTACCATATTTGTACTAGAAATCATTCAACAAAATCTTAATAAATTAAATTCTAATTCAATGTCAGAAAAAGAGGAATTTAAATAACAAAATGGGCAATCTATAGTGACATTTAAGCCAATTTAATTCTTTTTTAAAATCGTATTGCTCATAACACAAGTGTTGCCGTCTCTTCTGGGTACAAGCGAAAAGCTTATTTGCAGAGAAAGATCCTTAAAATTGTTTTAGCTATCGGAAAAACGAAATCTCCGAAACCTCTCTCAGATTGAAATCGAGAATTTCTCTCGGGGAACACGGATCTCTCTTCAAATCTACGGGATCCATTCATGTTCTCGAAGATCTGTATAGCAAATCTGAGGTAATCATCTCCAGTTCTCGTTTGATTCTGCTCTTACCTAATTTGGTAAATCTCAATCAGTCTCTCTAGAGTTTGATCGCAATTGTGATCTGCTTGTTTTGATTTCAGATCAGAAGCTTCTCCGATTTGATATATGCTGTGTTTGCAGATCTGGGTTTGGTTGTATTTCTGAGTAAAATTTAACCCACCATGTGCGATCAAAGACCCGTTTTTCAAGGGTCTCTCGTATTGGGTTTCTTCTTCCTCTTCTTCTGCATCGTAAACGGAGAAGAATGCTCAAATACGAGCTCATTGATCGGGTACGAGTCCGAGTTCAAGATGCTGCAGCACCAGCTTCGAGGGGTTTTCACCGTCGTTGATGATTGCTCCTTTAGGGTTTCTCGTTTCGACATGCTCTCTGGCTCCGACGTTCATTGGTGGGGTGCAATGACTTCTGATTTCGAGAACATGACTAATAACGGCTTCGTGATCTCTGATCACAAGCTGAATCAAACATTCAATAACGAGTCTTTCGTCGTCCATTTGCTGAGTAACGTTACGTGGGATCGATTAGGGGTGGTTTCGGTTTGGGATTCACCTACTGCTTCTGATTTTGGGCATGTTCTGCTCTCAAACACCACAGAGCCAGAGTCGTCTTCTTCAGAGAGCAACGATGTGGCTCCTTGGAAATCTAATAGCAGTGAGCCCTATAAAGCTCCTACCATGTTTGATAACTGCAAGAAGCTTTCGGATAAGTACAGGCTAAGGTGGAGCTTGAATGCAGAGAAAGGCTATGTTGATATTGGTCTAGAGGCTACAACTGGTTTGCTCAACTACATGGCGTTTGGTTGGGCTAAACCGAACGCTACAGGGAACCTGATGTTGGATGCTGATGTTGTGGTCACTGGAATCAGAGAAGATGGCTTCCCTTTCGCTGATGATTTCTACATCACAAAGCTGAGTGTTTGCTCTGTCAAGGACAACTTTGCCTCTGGGGTTTGTCCTGACTCTGTGTACGACGGAGGATCAGATTTAGTTGGTGAGTCTTCTTCGGTGAACAACACTAAACTGCTTTACGGCCATAGGATAGATGGAGTTTCGTTTGTTAGGTATAGGAGACCGTTGAATGATAGTGACAATAGGTTTGATTTCCCTGTGAATGCAACTGAGAACTTAACTGTTATTTGGGCGCTTGGGGTGATAAAGCCACCGGATGTTATCAACCCTTACTACCTCCCGGAGAATCACGGCGGTTTGGAGTCGGAAAACTTCGGCCATTTCTCTCTTAATATCTCTGATCATGTGGATGAATGTTTGGGACCGCTTGATGCAGACAACAAGTATGATCAAGGCGTGATCATCGCTGATGCCAATGCGCCTCTCGTTGTCACTGCTGGACCGTCTGTGCATTACCCGAACCCTCCAAACCCGTCCAAGGTTCTGTACATTAACAAGAAGGAAGCTCCGGTGCTGAGAGTGGAGAGAGGCGTCCCTGTGAAGTTCTCAATAGAGGCAGGGCACGACGTTTCTTTCTACATAACTTCGGATTTCCTCGGTGGGAACGCTTCTCTAAGGAACAGAACGGAGACGATCTACGCCGGTGGGCAAGAAACTCACGGAGTACTGTCGAGTCCGTTGGAGCTGGTTTGGTCTCCGAATAGGAACACGCCTGACCAGCTCTATTACCACTCGATTTATCAAGAGAAAATGGGGTGGAAGGTTCAGGTTGTTGACGGAGGACTCTCGGATATGTACAACAACAGTGTTAACCTCGACGACCAGCAAGTTAAGTTCTTTTGGACCATAGTAGGAGACTCGATATCGATCGCAGCTCGTGGGGAGAAGAAAAGCGGCTACCTTGCAATCGGTTTCGGCAGCGAGATGGCGAACAGTTACGCTTACGTTGGTTGGTTCGACAGAAACGGAACAGGGCATGTGAACACTTACTGGATCGATGGAGCTTCCGCTTCCGCTGTGCATTCTACGGTAGAGAACATGACGTACGTGAGATGCAAATCCGAGGAAGGAATCATCACGCTCGAGTTTACACGTCCGTTGAAGCCGTCGTCGTGCAGTCATCAGAACAGACCCGAGTGCAAGAACATGATCGATCCAACGACTCCTCTTAAAGTGATATGGGCGATGGGTGCTAAATGGACGGATGGTCAGTTAACTGAGAGGAACATGCACTCGGTAACAAGCCAGAGACCGGTCCGTGTGATGCTAACGCGTGGCTCCGCAGAAGCGGAGCAAGATCTAAGACCGGTGTTAGGCGTTCACGGATTCATGATGTTCCTCGCTTGGGGAATCTTGCTCCCAGGTGGGATATTATCAGCTAGGTACCTTAAACACATCAAAGGAGATGGATGGTTCAAGATTCATATGTATCTTCAATGTTCTGGTCTAGCTATCGTCTTCCTCGGCCTCCTCTTCGCTGTAGCTGAGCTTAACGGTTTCAGCTTCAGTTCGTCGCATGTTAAGTTCGGTTTCACGGCCATAGTGTTGGCTTGCGCTCAGCCAGTGAACGCTTGGTTAAGGCCAGCGAAACCGGCTCAGGGAGAGTTGGTCTCCTCGAGGAGATTGATATGGGAGTATTCGCATTCGATCGTTGGTCAATCGGCGGTTGTGATCGGAGTCGTGGCGCTTTTCACGGGGATGAAGCATTTGGGAGAACGGAACGGAGCGGAAAACGTCGACGGGCTTAACTTGGCTCTTGGGTTATGGGTGTGCCTTGGAGTGATTGCTGTAGCGTATTTAGAGTACAGGGAAAGAGGAAGGAGAAGAGCGAGGAATGTGAGCAGAGGGAATTGGGTTTTGGGGAATGTTGAGGAAGATGATTCGGTTGATCTTATAGACTCGAGAGGTGGTTTCAGAGATAAAGATGGTGAAGATGGTAGAAATGGTGGAGGGAGGATGGAAATTCAGTTAGAACCGTTGAAATAATAGTGTTTTTTTTTTCTTTTCAGTTTTGTTTTTTATTGTTATTTTCTCTCTTTACGGAATGTGAAAAAGAAAAGAAACAGGAAGAGTTTTGTCTTTTTACAGTTTTATTTACTTTATTATAAATGCAACGGTCAATATATTGTATGTATGCGTTAGAATTTGTATACCTCTTTGAGCAAATTTGAGTTTTATACTATTCAAATCAGTTTGACTTTCTTTTTCAACGAGAATTTTTGTTTATAATATCTGGTCAAAGTCATCCTTTTGGTTTTACAATCGACATGAAAATGTACAAAGCTAACGCTAATCTTTCTTTCTTTTAACTCTTCTTTATAGATTTATATTATGCACAAAGTGATATAAATAAATAAACTAAAAAATAAGTACAAGAAAAAACAAAAAATTAAGAATCGTAGTCGATAATGGGTTCACCTAGGGTTAAATTTCTGTCGATCTTCCAAGGCAAGTTAAAAAGTTTGGCCAAAATGAATTTGAAGATCTTGTTCACATTAATGTTGTGTGTCGCACTTGAAAAGAACAATGACGCCTTCATCACCTTCGCGTACGCTCTTGCCTTATGTATCAAATGAAATCAAAATAAACCTATTATATGTACAACCTATTACCAAAACTCCAACCGTTGAAATCATCATGGAAACGTAAAATATAGCAATAAAAAAAAAACGTGTCGTAAAGGATTAAGTTGTATGATTGGTATACCTGAGTGACAATGGTCCACTGTAGATTGGGTGGGAGCCGAACGAAATCATCGAACTTTGTCCCTATTAGAATCGGAATTGCCGTCTGATCAAAGAAAAATACAAAGTTATAAAAATATTTAAGAAAAAGTACAATATTGTTGGAATCAGATTCCATTTTTTCTTTCTTTCTAATATAGTCCTTTGATGTGAATAAATTATATTTATATAGAGCATTAAGCACTCATCTAATAAGAGAACAGAAATTTATGCATAAAAAAAACAGTAACCATAAACAGAAAGTCAGAAATATTAATATATACTCCAAGGATCTAATCAACAAAAATGATTGATGTGATTTTCTATCTAATTGCCAAGAATGATTGACATCAAACGTACCGTGTTCCATTTTCTTGCCTGGCTATACCACCCAAAGACACTGCCAACGAAAACCCACGAGTTAAAAAACTAAACAATGATAAATATTAAGAAAAAGTAAAATGGAAACAAAAAAAAAAAAGGGAGATTTGTGAATATACCCCAAAAGAGAGAACTATTGTCCCCTTACACTTTTTTTGAAATTTATCAAATCTGGACTCTAATACCCTTACATATGCTAGAAATATGATATAAATATATTTAAAAGTTTTAAAAAATTAAATAAATTAAGTAAAATGATTCTAAGGTTTAGAGAATATTTTCACAATTTGTTTTTGAAATTTGAACCTCAGAAAAATAAATAAAATTTGCATCTACCAAATTCATTATTCAAAGTAGAATTTGTCTTCTACTAGAGACTCTCACATCTATCCCTCGTAGAACATAAAATCTACCAACTGTTCAGCCATCTACCATCGTAGAATTTGCTTTCTACTAAATACTCTATACTCTACGAGTTGGTAGAGTTGTAGAACATTTGTTCTACGTTGTATACGGTTTTCTACCGTTGGTAGAACCTATATTCTAACCTACACATTGTTTTCTACCATCTCTAGAATCTATATTCTATCATAAACAATTTCTTCCACTATTTGGAGAATTCGTGTTCTACACAAAATACTATCTTCTACTATTTGTAGACTTTGTGTTCTCCTGAAAACAATGTCTTCTACTGTTTGTAGAAACTATAATCTACATTAAACACATTTTTCTACGAAATGATAGAATTCAACTTCTACGAGAATCTAAAAAATATAGTAAAAATGGTAACTAAATATTAGAAAATATCTTCAAAAACTATATTTCCTTAATCTACTTTGCCAGAAGAAAAAAAAGAATTCTCATCACGTTCTTCTTCTTCTTTTTTGCTTTTTCTTATCATTTATATAATTTTCTTTTAGATTATTTGTTTTAATCTATTTTTCTCAGGTTATTCTGTTGCATATCTATATAACATATGGAGACTGAGTGCAATCAAATGGTGGAATTTCGTTGTTGGTGAGGCAAAAGGAACTAGATTACTTGCTTTGAAATATATTTTTCTTTTCTTAAATAATTAATTATTTATTTGTTTATTACACTAATCATTTAATTTCATTTATTAATTATTTATTTATTTGAAAAAATCATGAAAACGTAATTTGAGGGTTTAAAATTGGATTTAAAATTTAATTAAGGGTAAGTGGACAAGATTTGGCAAAAAAAGAGTAGATGGACAACTCTTCTCTTTTTCTGGAGTATTTTGCCAAATTTCCCACAAAAAAAAGTGATAAAGAGATTACAAAACCTGTTGAGAGTAGATCGACTGGTTAGATCAAACATGAACAAGATAGCTACTGAATCTTTACAAGCAATCGGTATATGATCTTTGGACCTCTTTTCATCACCTACAATAATAATTTACAGTCTCCTAATTAACAACAAATACATTATATGTATATTATTTCAAGCATTCAAGTTGTTTTATTTGACTGATATTAATATTTGACTCACCTCCTACATCCCAAATGCTAAACGAAATCGTAACTCCTTTAACATAAAACGTTTTGTCCATCAAATTTAAACCCGTCATCTCCAAGAACCCTTTACTCTCATCTCCAACATACTTTATCTTTGCAAAAATAATAACACCACAATTAATCAAGTCGTTAAGTAATTAAGATATAATATGATAAAATGGTTATTATGAACTAAAACATAAATAAGATTTTCATACTTACTACAAAAGTAGTCTTCCCTGTTTGACAATCGCCTAACAAGCTGATCTTGAGACTAACCAAATCAGAATCAGAACCTGAACCAAACTCTCTACCGGAAACAGTAGGTTCGAATCCTGTTTCGTCTCCGTCGAAGATCTCGTCGGCAGTGGAAGAAGAGATCCGGTGAATGATTCGCCGGTATATAACAGGTCTTTCAATGATACTTGAACAAGACACGACTTTTCTCCATATAAACCTACAAAAATCTCCAAAGATTGATACCCTCTCGATGATTCTCCATTTAACGTTCACGTGAACGATTTTCCGGCAGATAGGTGTTATCTTTCCGGCGATCTCGTTGATTTTCTCGGCCATCGATGAAACAGAGAGATGTGATATTTTTTGCTGTTCACAAGCTCACATTTCTCGTTTTTTCTTTTTAAAAATGTCTCTTCGTTTGCTGTTAGCCTGTTACTGTGTAATTGGAAGTTATCGGTTATATGGATTTGTTGTTGACCCGTTCTCTCATGAAATACCGAGAATGCCCCTAGTGGATGTCTATTTCCCTTTCGGCAACCCACCACTCTCTCAGTTCTTGGTGGCATCTTGCTATGGAGAGGTACTATGGTCATTGGTCAATTCAAGAGCTAATTCATTATCTTCCATTTGAGTAAACCCCAAGTCTACGGTGTCACTAATTTGATTATTCTTCTTTCTTTTTTTGTCAACATTTGATTATTCATCTTTTTTTTTTTTTTTTTTTTTCCCTATTGATGGTATTCTTCTCCTATCGTTTGTTCTTATTTGATTACTCATCATATATTTTAGTTTATTAATCATATTTTCCTACCGTGTTTTGTCTCATTTTAGTATTTCAATACGATTATACGAAATCTGGTAAGATTACTGAGAAAGGAAATTAAAAAAACAAATATGGTAACACCTAATCAAATATTAAACAAACTCACAATATTAAAGCAAACTCCATTTGAAACACAAAGCACGAGAATCTTGAGATGCGTTTTGTTGAAGGAAACCAAAATTATCCATTGTTTAAAAAGTAGGTTCTTAAAGAATGAAATGAATATTAGTATTACTAGTAGTAAATAAATTTGTTGTCGACCCTCGATGTAGTTTCCGTTGGTTGGATCTATGTCACTTTTCATTACTTTCTCTTAATTAGTCTCTAAAAAGGGTCAACTTCATTATTTCTTATTTCTCAATGTTATCGTTCATAATAGTTGAATGATAACAAGGTTTATGTTGAATCTATGTAAGTAATCTTGCATGCATAGTTGAATGATAACAAAGTTTATGTGGAACCTATGTAAGTAATCTTGAAATGCATGAAAATTGTTTTTTAAAATGCTAAAATATCAACATTGACTTCCGATCCTGTGCAGTGTACATTTATGTTTAAATGCATATCGTTTATGAAGAAATAATGAATACAGCCACATCAATCACTTTAGAAATTTCTAGTCGATCAAAATCTATAGAATATATACGATTAGAAAGACACACCATAGCTTTTTCGTTTCTAAATTGGGCATTTAAAACACACGCACAAATGAATAACTCGATCGATCGTTGGCTTGTTCCTCTCGTTTCTTCTTTTGTAATACTTCTATTTAACACTCTAGTTATCATTCGAGAGCTTAATTGGATAGTTTATATTGTAACTGTAGCTATTTGGTATAAGTATTACCATTAACCCAAAAGGAAAAAAATGGTCTCATACCGTCATACGTAACCATATTATATTAACTAAAGATTTTCTTTAGACGTTGGTTTTGTAACTTTGTTTAGAAAATTGTAGGAGAATATAGATAACGTGTTCGTTGTCGACATGGAATCTTTATCTTCAATCAGAAACTTCGTCTAGACGATTGTTAAAAGGTAAACCTTATATCTTTTGTAGTTTTTATATAATTTTGTCTAATGGGTATTTAGATATATCTTAATGATAAACAGACAGATAATGGTCTAACCACTAGAAGCACCAAAGATATTATATATCTAATTCCAAATCACAATACACCACATATTACATACACAAATTTATATATGTTTCCTCGACTTCCGACCTTTTTTGTAGTATATGTTTATGGTATTGGAGTTGGTTGATGATATTAAACTAGTTCTTTCTTTGTTGGTGGTGGAGTCTAACATCACACAAGATAAAAATAAGGGTGATTTGCTATAATAACCCACAAAATATTGTAAATAGCCAAAATAGCCTATCAAGAATTTTGAAGATTTTATAAAAAAAATTTTACACAATTATCCTTTTAAAGTCTTCCAAACTTACTCGCAGACTCGGATTTTCTTTTGCTAGTCTGCTATTTTTTTGGCAGACTCAACGTATTTTTGGTAGACTCTATATATTTTTTCGTAGACTCTGTCAAGCTTTGACAAACTATACCAAAATCTTCCAAATTTACTAGCAGACTCGGATTTTATTCTGCTGATCTTCCATTTTTTTGTGGATTCTGCATATTTTTAGTAGATTTAAATTTCAGTCTGCTAATCTGTTATTTTGTTAGCAGACACTACATATTTTTGGTAGATTCTGCGTCTTTTTTGTAGACTCTGTCAAGGTTTGGTAGAGTATACCAAAGTCTTCCAAAATTTACTAGCAGACTCGGATTTTAAATTGCTAGTCTTCCATTTTTTTGGTGGATTCTGCGTATTTTTGGTAGATTTAAATTTTACTTTGCTAGTCTACTATTTTATTGGCAGACTCTACGTATTCTTTGTAGACTTTGTTGAGGTTTTGGCAGACTACGTCAAAGTCTTCCAAATTTACTGGCAGACTTGAATTTTAAACTGCTAGTCTTCCATTTTTTTGGTGGATTCTGCATATTTTTGGTAGATTTAAATTTTACTTTGCTAGTCTACTATTTTATTGGCAGACTCTACGTATTCTTTGTAGACTTTGTTGAGGTTTTGGCAGACTACGTCAAAGTCTTCCAAATTTACTCGCAGACTTGAATTTTAAACTGCTAGTCTTCCATTTTTTTGGTGGATTATGCGTATTTTTGGTAGACTTAAATTTTACTTTGCTAGTCTGCTATTTTATTGGCAGACTCTACATATTCTTTGTAGACTTTGTCGAGTTTTGACAAATTACATTAAAGTCTTCCAAATATATTAGCAGACTTGGATTTTAATCTGCGAATCTTCTACTTTTTGGTGGATTCTGCATATTTTTGGTAAATTTGACTTTTACTCTGCTAATCTGCTATTTAATTAGCAGACTCAACATGTATTTGGTAGACTCTGCATAATTTTTTGTAGACATTGTTGAGATTTGGCAGATTACATCAAAGTCTTTCAAATTTACTAGCATATTCAAATTTCAATATGCTAATCTTCTAATTTTTTTATGAATACTACATATTTTTGATAGACTTGAATTTTACACTGTTAGTTTGCTATTTTATTAGCATATTCAATATATTTTTGATAGATTTTACATATTTTTTAAGACTATGAGTTTTGGCAAACTACACCATAGTCTTCTAAAATTATCACTATAATTGAATTTTAATCTTCTAATATGATATTTTTCTGTGTTGTTTTGTTAATATTGGATTTTAGTTGATGAAATATTTTCTCGCAAAATTCAGAAAAAGTTACAAACTGAAATCTCATATAGTCAAACATTTTATAAATGTGCAAAAAAACAAAAATGAAAAGAAGTAGAATGGATAGAGAATCAATTTCAATGATAAATACCATAAATGAAAAAATTGAGTTCGACAAAAAAAATTGCTGTTAGACCAAATATACATTGCCATGAAATTTGATAAAATAAAAATAATCAATTGATTTGAAATTAAAAGTTATTTATTTCTTATTTTATTTTTCTTTTATTTATTTATTAACTAAAACTAATTTGTTATTGTTCAAATTAAATGAATAGTTATGTGTAATTTACAAAAACGAAATTAAAGAAATAATTATAGTTAAAAGGATAAAACTGGAATTATACATCACTGCTTAAATGATTAATAGGTTATATGAGTAATAAAAATATAAATAGGTTATTATAGCTATTTCTTATAAAAAAGAGGTTATATTAGGTAATTTTCTCTAAAAATAATCTCTATTGCATGATATAGAACCTCGACAATTGTTAACAGTTTGCTTCGTTTTTTTGTTAAACACCATAAACCGAATAAACTGCATCGCAAAGGTTTTGTTTTGGCTACCATTTTGGCAAGTTGGATTTAAAATAACTATTCAAAAGGTAATTTAAAATTCATTAAAAAGACTTAGTAAAGAACCAACTGATGTGTTGGACCACGTGGATGCGCATGAAAAGAGACTTGAAAAACTTATGAAACTCATGATGATAGGTGTTCGTTACCGAACATTCAAGTTCAATGATGTGGCTGGTCCCAACTAACCAAATCTATTTAAACTCATCTCTTTTTTGTTTTTGGGTGTGTGTGTGTGTATATAATCAAAATCGGTTTTGTAAAAGGACAAAGCGAATGCCAATGTTTTACGTAGCTAGACTTCGACTTGTCAAACTAATTCTCTGCATAGCCCTCGAAAACTCAGTTTCATCTACTCTTCGATTAAAACATCTATTACCAACTCAAAATTAGTTTGTCTATTAATGTAACTGCCCATTAAAGTGATTTGATTTTCAAAAAATACTTACTCAACCGAGGAAAGGAAATACGTGAAAAATGGTTCATTTCATGATTTTTATCAGCAAATCGGCAAAAAGTGGGAAAATATATCCTCCTTTACGTAAAAGTCAAGAAATAGTTTCTTCGAATTGAGTAGAAGAAACATCATATATACTCTAGTATGTTTTATGTTTTAGTACTTCTTCTTGTTACTCCAAAATCGTTTTTGAAATGTATAATAATGTTAACATTTTGTTTTAGCACATGAACGAGAAAAACGAGTAAGTCATCTTGATTTATATATTGGGACGAACAAAGATAAAAAAAAAAATTAACCATTTACAATTACAGTAATATTGCCAAAAGAAAGAATTACAAAATATATTCCGAGAGGATCAAAATATTGCCAAGTTTTAAGCCATGTTTAGAAGCAACATTTGGACCAATCTAATATTTGAGTGAGCTTAGTAAAATGATTTAAAAGAAAGACATAATATATTTCATAAAGAGATTGAAAATCTCATGTTGGACGAAATGAATTTCAACCAAATATCAAATATGTTTGGTAAATGATGAACAGGAATTCAGTCGCAATGTCCTAAATGACCGTTTTCGCACATGAACGGGAAAAATGAGTAAGTCATCTTAATTTATGTATTGGGACGAACAAAGATAAAAAAAAAAATTAACCATTTACAATTACAGTAATATTGCCAAAAGAAAGAATTACAAAATATATTCCGAGAGGATCAAAATATTGTCAAGTTTTAAGCCATGTTTAGAAGCGACATTTGGACCAATCTAATATTTGAGTAAGCTTAGTAAAATGATTTAAAAGAAAGAAATAATATATTTCATAAAGAGATTGAAAATCTCATGTTGGACAAAATGAATTTCAACCAAATATCAAATATGTTTGGTAAATGATGAACGGGAATTCAGTCGCAATGTCCTAAATGACCGTTTTCAAAACGTGTTGTTCATAGGTTGTGCACAAAAAAAATTCTATACAAGTGACCGTTTTCTTTTACATACCAAAAATATATGGGAAAATATCAAAATTACACATTTTTGGATGTCAACTTTCAAAACTATACCTCTAAAATGTTTATTTTCAAATGTATACTTTTTATTGAGTAAAACAACTCTAAACCCTAAATATAAATCTCAAATCCTAAAATCTAAACTTGAACCTTTAAATCTAAACTCTAAAGCTCAAAATCCAAACCCTAATTATAGATTAGTGAACCTAAACTTATGTTAAAATTAGAAAAAAGTGTAATTTTGAAAATTATCACACTAGAGGTGTAGTTCTGAAAATTTACATCTTAAAATGTGTATTTCCTAAAATTGAGAAATTTTATGAAATACACCTCTTGAGGTGCAAATTTTTAAAACTACACCTATGGTGTATAAATTTTCAAAAATACACCTTTTCCTAATTTTAATATATATGTTTGGGTTCACTAATCCTAGATTAGGGTTTAGATTTTGGGGTTTAGGGTTTAGATTTAAGGGTTCAATGTTAGATTTTAGGGTTTTGGATTTATATTTTAGGGTTTAGAGCTCTTTTACTAAATGAAAAAAGTGTAGTTTTGAAAATAGACACCATAGAGATGTATTTTTGAAAATTGGCACCTCAAGAAGTGTAGTTTTGAAATTTCCCCCCTAAAATTTCTCAAAATATATAGAAAGTTTTGAAAGAACTGTAGTTCATTTTATTATTTGCTCTGCAAATTTCATATGGAATGCTACTATCAAGAAATCACCTAACACGAATATTGAGTTTTCCTTAGAAACGAAATTAGTAGTTCATTTTATTAATGCCTCTCGTATGTTCTTACATGGTTTCTGTAAAGCATTTCAGTGGCCTAAATCAAAATTAGGCAAATGTGACATTTGTCATTACAGTTTTAAACAATTCTTTTGGTGATTGTATGTAAAATAGTAAACCATTGAAATAAACCATAATGCTTTTTCTGCCTTATAGAAATAAACCATACTATTAGTAGGTAATACCTATATAGTTTAAAACAAAAAAGTAAAATATTAGTAGGTAAAATGTGAGAATCGAATCCGAGGGACAAGAGAAATAAACCACTACAAAATTTAAAATGTGGCCTTAATTGTCTATCAAAATTCTTATACATGTATGTGATTGACTTGTGTTATACGTGAGGTTTGTGTGCAAGTGTACCACACAGAAGAAAGTACCATAACCCAAGACCGAGCTTCATATCGTTTCAAAGGCTTCAAGATCAGTTTACAATCACATTGTTGGGTTTGACAAAGAAAGATTACATTGTCATTTGGTTTAAACCGTTTCATACCGATATACAAACCGGATGTGTCATACATAGTACAAGGCAACCTTTTGCAGAGCTTTTTAAACAATGCTCTCACTGAGTTTAGAGAAGCCAAGCTTCTTGAGTCTACTAGTTATCGGATTAGCCCAAGCTCGATCTGGATTCCCGCATTTCACATCCACAATATCCACAATGTTCATCCTCTTCTCTCTTCTCGGTGTTCCTTGCAACGACACATTATCAGAGCCAAGCATTGGAACCTGATGAGTGCTTTTACCATTGTGATGACCCTTTGGTGTTCTAACGTTCTCAGAGCCAAGCATTGGAAGCTGATGAGTGATTTTGGCGTTGTGATGACCCTTTGGTGTTCTCACATTGTTGTTGCTGCTGCTGCTAGCTTCGTCTGATGATGATCTTCTTGCTTTATGTCTTCTTGGAGTGGAAGAAGAAGATGTGCCACAGTCTACTGAGACAGGGACTGTTGTCCTAACGGGTCTGGTTGTCGTTGTCGGAGTTTGAGGAGAAGGTTGTTGTTTCATGGAGTCTAGCTCTCGAGTCATTAGAGTTGCAACTGTTCCTGTTGCTCCTATCTTTATCGATCCTCCTCCTCCTCTGATCAGCTCAAGCTTCTGTACCATTATGAAATTTGTTTTCACCTCCTCTCCTAGAGTTTGGCTTCAAACAAAGCAACAATCTAGAGGAATTTAGTAACCTTATTATATCATCAAAGCACTAATTTAGTAACCTTATTATATCAAAGAACAAAAAAAGATGAAAAATCAAAGCATTGCAAAAGAATGGTTTTAGATTCCACCAGGAAAAAACGAAATCTAGCTGGGAGAAAAATTGAAACTTTACTATCCAAAATCAATCAATCAAAAAACTTTACTATAAAAAATCAATCATTCAAAAGAAAGAGGGAATCACGAGAATTACAGAGATTGGAATTGGGAAAGGGGAAAACGAAACCCTAATGAGAAGGACATTCTTGGATTATAAGCTTGACTAGTCATATTCGACAAGGAAGAAACAAAATCCCAGAAAAATGGTCAAAATCTCATAAGAACAAACACAAATTTCCCCTAATAATCTCATCAGATCAGCAAACAATGGATTCGCATTAAAGAGCTAGCCGATTTAAGAATCGATTAAACTGAGCTGAAAAGCCAAACCTTTTTCTCCTTCCAAATTTGAAAACTTTTTAGAACTCGGCGATGTAATTGATCGAACTGGATTTAGGACCCGCATTGAGCATTAGGTAGGAAGAGGAAGAATCAGATTTTTATTTTGATTTGGTTTTGAAATCTGAGCTTTCTTGTAGAGCGTGACGGATTAAGAAGAAGCAGCGACTAGTCAACGCAGAGGTTCCTTTATTTTACAGAGTGTAGAGGAAGACGATTGCTCAAATGATTTTGGACCCAGCCAAGTAATAATGTTTTACTTTTTAGGAACAAGGATCAAATTATGAAAATTATATTAGGAGGCTTAATCTCTTGCGTTGTTACAGATTTAGCCTTTAGTTATCAATCGTAACAAAATGGTACTAAAAATTAACGCTGCCGTATTGGTTACCTATTGGAACTCTCTTGATAAGGTAGAGGGTTTGAGACTCAACCGACAAAATGTTGAAGTGGTGTTGTCTCTCCGGCCATTTCAGTAAACAAGTCTTGTTTTTAAGTTTTGGTCTCGAGGAGAAGCGCAAAAAGAAAAAGAAAAATTTAACCTTTTCGCCTTCATGGATTTTCAGATTAGTAAAGTCGTGATGAGTTTGTTCGTGATTACTGCGATCTTTCAAGCTTCTGGTGTCGACGCGTGGACTGGCGAGATTCGCGGCAGAGTAGTATGCGATGTCTGTGCCGATTCTTCAATCGGACCTGAAGATCATGTTCTTGAAGGTTAGTCTCACTTTCTGCATACTAATATGTCTTCCCTTTTGGACAGTTTTAGTTCTTCCATTTTGTGAAGTTCTATGGATTTAATTGTAGATTCAATTTTCAATACTCAATAGTGGTTCTTGAGAAAGAGTGTTGATCTGCTGTTGTTGTGACATATTTCTTCAAAGTGATCACTGTTTATTCCAATAGCACTTCTTTCTACGGTTTCTCAACATCGAATTGGTATTGAAGCTGTGAATTTATCACTTACTGCAATATTTAATTGTAAAATTATGTACACGAACTTGCCGAACCTTATTGGTACTGATTGTTCTTCTTGCTTGAGCAAATGGTGCTTATTTTGATAAGTGTTGTTTTTAAGTTAGATAGACTCAAATTTAAAAGCGAGTATGGTTTGAAATTTTGTATCTTCTCTTGTCTCTCTGGAAGTATGCAATTAGTTGAGGTTATTGAAGGATCAATGACATTTTGGAGTTTGTTGTTGTTGTTCAATCTTTACAGGAGCTGAGGTTGCGGTTCTCTGCATAACCAAATCTGGAGAAGTTGTGAACTACCAAGCATTCACAAACTCAAAAGGTGTATACACAGTGGCAGAGACAATGCCAGAGAGTGAACGTTGGGACGCTTGTCTTGCAAGACCAATCAGCAGCTTCCATACGCCTTGCAACCGCCTAAACCAGGCCAATACAGGGATCAAATTCACTTATAACCGGCCTTCCGGTTACTTCCATGCCGTGAAACCTTTTGTGTATCGACCTCAATATGCACCTTCGTATTGCTGATTGTAAGAGTTTGTATGGCCTTGTCAAGTCCTTGTAAGTTGTAACAATATGAAGATATAATGAATATGTAATATGAACATTAGTTTTAAATTTTTGGAATGTTAATAAGATGATTACATTTCATTCAAGTGTGTTGATTAAGGGATGAGAAGTTTTATCTGATTGCCTCACCAAAAGTGAGAGAAATGGAAGTCTTAGTCAAAGTCAAAGGAAGATTAGTCTCACAAGGCGGTGAAGGGGCGGTAAAGAACAGCTGATATTGAATGGGTCCTACAGATGACGTGTCCATACGGTATTGGTTACACAACGTGTCTCACGCATGAGAATTGAGAACCTTTTACGGGATGAAAAGACGAAATTATCCCCATCGTCATTCGTTGCGTCAGTCAACCGAAAAATTGAATGTCCGGACGAGGAAAGAAACCATAAATCTGGGAAAGAAAATCGTTATAAGAAAATAGAGAACATAATTTAACCCGAGAAAAGAGAGAAAACGATTTGATGATCCGAAGAAGCTAAAAACTCTGCAAATAAGATGATACATTGGTTGAAGCAGCTGCGATCGGCGTTTGGCGTCGCGTTTCTGTGGCTCGTTTGCCTCATTTACTTCACTCAGGTTCCTTTCTCTCTGCTTCAATTTATGAATTTTTTTGCTTTTGTTTCCTGTAATTCATCAACGATGAATCTCGTCAAACCAAAACAGAAATGGTGATTGATTTCTCGTTGCGGATCATTGATAAGCAGAGAATCCATTTTTTTTTTCCGTTTTCGTTATAATAATTACACCTTAAATCGTAATCTCATGAATCAAATGCGATTAGAGATTAGACTCTTATCATTTAGGAATGTTTTTTTGAGAATTGGAACCTTCGATCACGTCATCGGATCAAATTCATCTCGTCTTCCTCTGTTTTCCTTAGAATTTCGCTTGTTTACACTACTCTTGGTTAGATAACTAGACGATCACGTTACATTGTTGAGATCGGATTGGCTAATTTGATGATATTGGTGAATTGATCCTGTAGAAACTGCATTGCAGAAATTTCAAATTGATTTAGCTTAATTTTTGTTTCGTATATAGGGATTTAGATCGTTCGTGTGGACAGCAGTTTCGTACCAGCTGAAAGATAGGCTTCAATTATCACCATCAGCTTCACAGTTCGTCTTTACTGTATCCTTCTTTCCATGGAGCATCAAACCATTATACGGGTATGAATCTTCGTCAACAGTGATGACTCATTGTGTTGAACAATAAATTAATCTGAGAGTTTGCTTTTTTCTTGTAGAATCATCTCAGATTGTATCCCAATCGGAGGGAAAAAGAGGACACCGTATTTAGTAATATCAACGGTTCTCTCTCTTGTGCCGTGGGTGATGCTCGGTCTAGATTCGACCTCGAGAAGCTCGAGCCTGTATCTGATGATTCTCTTGACCGTTCAAAATATTGGATCAGCCATGGCTGATGTTGTGGTTGATGCCATGATTGCTGAGGCAGTGAGACTTGAGAAGTAAAGATTCTAATTAGTTATTCAGTTTTTTTCAACAGTACACAATGGTTTCTTATTCATTAGTTGTGTTGTTCTTTAATTTCAGGGCCTCGTTTGCTGGAGATCTTCAGTCTATCTCATGGTTTGCTATGGCTGTGGGAGGAATATGTGGTAGTTTATTAGGAGGCTATGCATTAACAAATTTGAATATAGAAACTATATTCCTTCTTTTCACTGTACTACCGGCGCTGCAACTACTATCATGTACTCTGGTTGAAGAGATTCCAGCTAGCAATGAGCTTCTGGATTCGAACGGTTTCGAAGAGAAAAGTTATGATAACTATAGTGATACAAAGAAGTCTAATATTAAAAGAAGGAAAGGGAAGAAGAAGAAAAGTGGAAAAGGAGCTTCCAGTTATGGAAAGTCTGTTACACAGAAGAAGCAATCAAAATCAAAGTCTTTAGGTTCACAGTTGTTCCAGTCACTGAGAGCGGCGACTTTTGAATTATGCCGTGCGTTCAAGCAACCGATGATTTTGAGGTAACCGCACGCTTTTCTTGATTAGTGTTGCTTTAGAAAGTTCTTCAAGTGTTGCTTTCTCTCATTTACTTTTTTTCTCTGTTTTTTTACAGACCAATGGCGTGGTTTTTCATTGCGCATATCACTGTGCCGAATCTCTCTACCGTCATGTTCTATTACCAAACTGAGGTCTTGCAGTTGGACGCTTCTTTCCTAGGAACAGCACGTGTAGTTGGTTGGTCAGGTCTCATGCTTGGAACATTCGTATACAATCGATATCTTACAAATATGACTCTACGCAAGTCTCTCTTGTAAGTGGTCGATATTCCACACACGCACATCTCGACATTTCTTTCTTTTAAGTTGTCGATCTAATCAACAAAAACACCATCGCAGGTTTGCTCACATCGGGCTGTCTATAACAATACTCCTCGATATGGTTCTAGTGTCTAGAGCAAATGTGGGTTACAGAGTATCAGACAAGACAATGGTGCTCTTCGGATCAGCTCTAGCTGATGCCATCAACCAACTCAAGTACGTCAGCTTTCTTCGTTATTTTACTCTAAAACATTCCTTCAAGAAGTTGTAAGCTCATGTTTTTGGCTAAATTGCAGATTCATGCCGTTCTTGATCTTGTCTGGTCGTCTATGTCCTCCTGGGATCGAAGGAACACTCTTTGCGCTGTTTATGTCTATAAACAACCTCGGGAACACAATAGGGTCATTCATGGGAGCAGGATTGGCTTTACTTTTGGGAATCTCTTCAGGGTCGTTTGAGAATATGTTTATGGGATTAGCGATTCAAGTGTTTTGCACTTATATACCTGTTTTGTTTCTTTTCTTGATACCCAAGGAAGCTACTGGAGTATCAGCATCATAGGCCAGAGGAGCAAATGTAATCTCGCATAGAACAGTTCTAGATTTTTTTTTGGCATCAGGTTTTGGCTTTCTGTTTAAAGGCTTTTGGAATTGACACACATCAGAAACACAATGGGGGACTCGAGAGTTGTTATATACTAATTATACAGCCACATTTTCTCCTTTCAATCCTACTTGTTAGATCAATCCTTAGCAATGATTGATCAGGAAGACGTCCGATCTAACAATCAACCATAAAAGACTGGACTCTAAACAATACTTTTTTTAGGTAACAACTCCGCGATCAATGGAGGTGGGAACAGTTCTTGCTCAGTATCATTTCATTGTCTGTGAGTTAGGTTTGGCACTTACAAATATGCAAAATCTCAAATTTCATTCTTCGTACTGATTTGGGTCAGGATTTTTCTATTACCATGTTGGCAAAGTTAACTAATTTCTATGTATAGACTTCCGTGAATTACGTGCAAAAGAGTATCCACGGTCTCCTATTGTTTTGTTGGATCTTTTGAAGTCATTATTTTAGTTCTTGTTGAGATGATAAAAAAACCCTTCAAGTTGCATTTTTTTCTTCTCTTGCTAGCCTGGTTTTCGGATTGCTGTCCTGTAGTGACTTAAGAAATCTCCATGTTGCAGGACCTAAGGAGATTACTGCACTTTTCTATAGTCTTCAGAGCTGGTGGGTAAGTTTAAGTTTAAGGTTTCTGCTAGTGATTTAGTTGCATTTGAAACTGGTTGAAGTTCACTCACGTGGTTGTGGTTTTGGTTTTGTTTTCAGTCCATTTTTGAGAGGTCTGATAAAGACAAGAGCGGAAGAATATATGTAAATGAGCTGAGAGACGTCTTGGCTTTTCAGTTTCTCCTGTGATTTTGGATCTGCTGGTTTCCAAGTTTGACAAAACCGGAGGCAAGAGCAAGGCCATCGAATATGACAATTTCATTGAGTAGTTCTTTCATCACATCCTCTCTCTCTGTCTTTTCTTCTTCATGCTCTGATCGTTGCTAATTAAATGTCATCTGATTTGCTTAACCTTGATGCAGGTGCTGTCTCACTGTTAAGGTACGCTCTATCATTCACTTTATTGATGTCTCATCCTACATAAGTGCTTTTAGGTCAAATGAGTCTGAAATCGTGTTAGTGTTTTGGGAATCACTCCTAGGGAAGAGTTAAACTCAAACTTATCTCCTCAACATGAATATCAAAGTCCATTTTGTTTAAATGTTGTTTTTGCTTGTAAGATCTGCAGATTAGTTGATTGATTTGATAAGATGATGGTGGGGAATGTGCAGGGACTGACAGAGAAGTTCAAGGAGAAGGACACAGGATACTCAGGCTCTGCTACTTTCATGTATGAGACCTTCATGCTCACTGTCCTCCCCTTCCTCATCGCATAAGGTGGTTACCTTTTATAACTACTACTTTCTTTACCGGATTTGATTTCGACAAGACTACGACCTCTAACAGTTCAACGTTTCCCAAATGGTTGGTTAAGATGAAACGATTTACTCATAAACAACCTTGCCAAATCATACGTTAGTACATTGTCTAGAAGATTCTGCTTTCCTTGGGATTTAGAGAAGAATGTTACTGTTTTTATTCGAATTTTGGTTATTTTTCCATAAATTTTGGTCACAATATTTCACTCACCATTGTTCTCTCTCTCTCACTCACCTGTCATTGGTTTTTGTCACGTGTAAGCCTTTTTCTTCGGATTAATAATATCGAAAGAAAAACAACTAAACATAAAAACACCATCATTAATTAAAACGAAATAAAATACATTAATTCAAAAGAAATAAAAACAACCCAAGTGAAGATCAAATTGGGTTTAAACTAAATCATGTCATTTGCATAATCCATATCTAACGAAATATATGCTTCGCATATGGGACATTTTTTGTGACCCCACATCCAGTCATATAAACATGTCTTGTGAAAAACATGTCGGCACCCCTGCAATCGAATCAGAAGTTCAAGCGTAGTATTCTGCATATCCTCACCACAGCGACCACAACAACCGTAGTATTCATCATTGTGGTTGCCGCGAAATCTTCCGGTCTGCCAATTATTCTCAGGTCTCCTAATCTTTGTAGTGCAGAAACCTTCATCAGCTGTCACCACCATAGGTATGTATTGTCTGGACCGAAAATATGTTTCACCTAGAGAATCAGCCATCTTTGACACTATTTGGTCCCAGGTCAAACGCCCACTGACACTGATAAAATCACCATCGATGTTTCTCTGATTTGGCGCCGGTCTATAGTATATGCTGAGGCCTTCAATGAATTTATGTCTCGAAAACATGTAGTCTTTCCATAACGTTGAAGAAAATTCGTAACAGAATGGAGGCGGCTCCTTGACCTGACTGATCAAGATATCGATTGCTCCAGATTTCCTGTAGATGCATCGCTTGAATCGTATCCCCCTCACGGAAATCGATGAAGCATTCGTCTCAGAAGGTACCGCTGGGCGAGTATAAAATTCTACAGTTTTTGTTACTTCCGTTCCAAATTCTTCCATCTGCAAAACAACAAAAGAGCAATATTCTTTTAACAACAATGACTAAAACAGAAATCTTATAAGGAAAATAAATCTAAACTCTAGTTACACTCAAACTAACCAAGATTGAAGCGTGGGCAGGAAGGAACAAAACAAAAAAAAAAAAAAAAAAAGGCAAAAGAGGAACAATTGTCATTGATCAACCAGTTGAATTCAGCAAAAGATATGGAGCTAACTAGTGAGAAGAGAGCACGTGAGGAGCTTAAAGCTCAAATCAAATCTAAACTCTACTTACACTCAAACTAGCCGAGATCTTGCTGAAGCAAAATTAGAAATCAAACAGCTGAGCTGAAGGAAGAGCTAACAAGAAACCAGAGTAAATTGGAGTTAAAAACCAGGACAAGCACTTTAGTGGCTGAGAAAGAGAGATACATCAAGAAGCTTGATGGTGTCTGACCTGGAAACTGTGCTTGATGAGTCAAGTGCTTTTATTCTTGTGTGTATCTCCGTTCTTCCGTTTTGGCAGTTTCGATCGCCGGCTATCACCAAGAACACCAGCACTAGCAAGAATAAACGAGAAATTAATTAACCTTTTGTGATTTTTTAGAAAACTGAGAGGGCAAGGAGGAAACTCTACAGTTAAAGCTAAATTAAGTCATAATCGACTCATCCAGTCACAAACCTGGCAAATTTGATGATGCGAAGCTTCCTTGGAGAGGCCTAATTCGCAGGAGATCGAAGATCGAAGAAGAAACGGTCACGCCGAGAAAAAGAAGAAGACGAGACAGGCGTTACAAATACCAAAGAGCAGAATCAGACGGAGAAGAAGAAGAGGAAGAACGTCGACAAGGCAGACAACCGTAATCGGAGATCAGAGAGCAAGCATTTCGATCCGAATTTCAGATCGAAGAAGACGAAGTTTTTGTTTCGCGTAACAGAAAGAAAAATAAAATAAAAAGCCAATGAGAAGAGACAATGGAATTATTGTGTTTGTTTTGGGATCTGGTAAGTGAGAAGAGACGTAAGCAAGAGAGCGAGGGAGAGGCAGAGAAAGCTAGAGAGAGAGTGTGTAATTTATTGTGTTTGAGAAGGGAAAAGAGAAGAGATGCATGATTATATAGGCACTATTTTGTTTTAGATATTACTCTGTGTATTAGTTTAATTTTTTTTTGAACTGTGTACTTGCATGCATGTTCATGGGAAGAGACGTACAATGATAAAAGAGATTGAAACGAATCTAGAGTCACATGCATTAGTTGAATTGACATAAAGGTATACTTACATGGAGAGGAGCTACAATAAAACAAGAGTCACGGAAAGTATCTAGAGTCACATATGCATTTATTGAATTGACATAAAGGTATACTTACATGGAGAGGAGCTTCAATAATGAAAGGGCAAGAGAAGAAAAAAGATTCCATCAGAAAGAAACCAAAAGACTATAGGACAAATGTAAAAAATATAAGAAAAATAAGTCACCAAAAATTTGATTAGATTATTCATCTCACAAGGACAACCACTTTCATTAGGGCAATAGTTTTGATCGCTGATCACTGGATTATTAACATTCCTCACATACCCTCTGCTCGGCCTAGCCCAAATCTTTATTCTTACTCCGTTTTGCGTCTTGGTGAAAACAGAGCTTGCGACGGTTACATTTTCCACACCTTCCTTGTTAGCGTATTTCCCAAGTCTCTCAATGCTGCATCATATTTATGTGGTAATTTTGAAAAATAAAATCAGCCATGGTAAATTTGGAATAAAACTTAATTTTGTGGCATGTGAAATGGGTAATGGAAGGGACGAAAAAACCCTCCAAATCTTGCGGTAACATAAAAACCTCAAATTATACGTCAACCAATGAAGCGTAGACACATCATTCAATCAACTCACATGAGATGGAACAGAGAGAATCTAAATGTGTGTTTTTTTTTTTTGTTAAAGAGAGAATCTAAATGTGTTACCTTCGAACTTCGAAGTCTATTGCTCTTTCTTTTTCTTGGTTGACATCGGTCTTACATGTTGACATTTGTGAATAATAATGCTAATGATTGTTTTTTGATGAAGTAGTTTAGAATCATTAATTAATGATATGTACGGCTCCTCATAATCGCAGGTGATGATAAGCAGTTGTGAGTTAGTTAAGCAAATAATGTTCATCTACAAAACGAGTAAGCATGTGACCATGTTCGTTGTATAGTTTTATTGTTTTCCTACCTTGAGGTGCATGTGAGCTTCTTGCTTACCTTAATTTGTTTATATATTTGGATAAATTTTACATTTAATTAAAAATAATATATTAATAATTAATGGTAAAACCAAAACAAATAAACAAAATTATGCTAGTGGCGGTGGACTTTCTCTTGTTCTTCAGTTAAATAATATTTAATCTAAATTTTAAATGAAAAAGAAAACCACTGGATCGGGTTTATGTATAGCCTAATCTATGGCATGTGACATCTAGACAATGGAGATGTTACATTCAAACGTAGTCGTAAAAGCAGAAAAGCCTCCGAACTCTACGGCCAGGACCCAGGAGTAGCATTAGTCAACAAAAAAGCTCTTGGAATAAAAGAAATGTTCGTGAAAGTCAACCAATGATAATTTATCACGACACAAGAAACAGGTAACATGGGTTGTAATGTTGTGGCCATTACGGAAAAAAAAGGTTTTAATCTTTTCCTTCAACTCTAAATATCACTCTATATATTTTTTTTTGGTGGTTCTAATCTTTGATTTCCAGATTCTCTTACTTTTGTCGTGGTTTCTCGTCGCATTCATCCGTTTCTCCACTATATGAATTGTCGCTTTTCTATATGTGTCGATGACACTCCCATGAAGATAATGTCAATGGTGCTGATCAAAACCCTCAAGACTCCCCTTTTTTTAAGTTGGCACAACGAAAACTAATATGTACACATCCATGAGATTAATTTTTCTTAACCATTTTTTTTGTTTGAACATCACTATATTGAATTAAACCGAAGATGGTTATGTTCATACTAAAAGCAGCATGTTTCACTTGTGTTATTTGAGTAGGAACATAGTTTGGAAAAACAAGTGAGTAACAAACAACTTTTTATTTTTGCTCAACTTTTTATCTTCAAGTGGGATGAAGATATTTTTGCTCAACTTTTTACTTTCTAGCTATGTGTCTCTCAACAAGTTGGGGTGAAAATATTTTTTCTCAATTTGTTAATTTTAGCTATGTGTCTCATGAATGGAGACATGAATCTTTTTATTTTTGGTTCTCATAACTCATAAGTGTCGGCAGAGCAAGACAAAAAAACCTATGGTTCACCTTCTTTCTTTCCAGCTGTGCATTATAAGATAAGTAGGAGAGATATTCGATAGACGACGTCTCTATAAATGTAAACAGTAAACCATATTGTATTTAATAAAATTCAGAATTTAAAGTCCCTTCTTTCACACATTTAACTCGCCTACCTTTACGCTTTCACTTTAATCCTTTTCTTTATTTCTTTTTTAATTTACTAGGTGATCCCTGTAATATTTTTATAAATTTATATTATCTCAATTTTTCATTGTAATTTACTTCTCTAATAGTTTTGTTGTTTCTCCCTTATTCATTTACCTTGTAAATGTTGTCCAAAAAGATCTATACATAAAAAGAGTAAGAACCTTCATAATTTTGGTTTATGTTTGCAAAACTTAAAAGATTGGGATTTTTCTATTTAGGATAATGCATCATAAAACATAAAAAACAAATCATCTATAAATAATCTAGTATGTGACTCATTAAGTCTTTTTTTCAGAACTTTTGCGATATTTTTGATTTGTTTTAAATTTCTATCGAAGAGAACGGTGTCGCGGTTAATTGGAACTCCAGTTTCCCTCAAATGTGGAAAGTGTATATTTTGTATACAAATACCTGATATATGTACCATTGGGGAAATAATATATGAATTTGAGGTAGTAATCGAAGAATACGACAGAAAAAATCTTTAGACTTATTTACCGGTCTTAATCCTCTCTAGGACTTCACCTCCTACTACTTCTTGAAACACCTCTATTCTCAAAATCTTTTCTAAATTTATGCAAAGCACTGTTGTTGCAAGCTGTTTTGAAAGTGTTTTTCTTTTTTTTATTCTTTTTCTTTGAGATTGTGAGGACAGTAAAACTTATGCAACAAATTATTCAAATTTGCAGCCTTGTTCCATCCACAGTCAAATATAATCTATGAAAGTCTAAATAGCTTTAAAACTTGAATAGAATTTAAATTATGATATAACAAAAAAAACATGAAAAAGATAAAGAAAAAGAGTATCAGCCTACCCTGCATATTTTCTTAATAACTATAACTATATTTTCTTTGTCATCAGTTTTTATTCAACACTTTCACTATAGAGTTAATGCTGGTGATCTTCTTATCATGGATAATCTAGCTCCTACAAATATCGAAACACAAATCTGTAAGTTCTATAACTGAATTGACTCATCAAGGATTGAAACTTAGCCATGAAATGTAATGATGTTCCTTTTTGACATCAAAACTAATTTAAAAACATTTAATATACAGTTTTCCTCTTTACAATTGTCTAAATGCAACATACCTACAAATTTGGTGATCATGTAACTTTTAAAAAAGAATGTTTCTTTGTTCTATTGCTTTAACAATCTCTCTTATTCCAGAATTTTTCAACCAAACATCATTTACATATGAATAATAGTATAGTCAATTTATTTTCTTTAATTAAATATCGTAACTTTTTTAACCTCACTAAAAAAAAAACGTTTTGAAGAACACCATAGATAAATATATGTTAAATTGCGTACTTTTTAATAATGTCTTACACTTACACGGCACGAAACTGATCATCCTAAAAATACCAGATAATGCATGAAAATAAACTTTACTAACCAAGAACACATAAGGAGATCATAATAAAGATTTTCTTAACCATTTTTTTTTTGTTTGAACATCACTATATCTGAATTTTTTCGTTCTAACAACAAAAAGATATCATGAAATTGTAATACATTTTTTTGTTTTTTTTTTCATAGAAAATGCTTTTCATTTCTTAAAACAAAAGCTAACCAAATACATAAGGAGAATTAGTGAGAAAATAGTGACTTTAGTATATTTTTAAAGGATCATAACTTAGAATTTTGCTGTAAATACTAATTAACTATTTAGTTGGTTGCGACTTGCGAATATATGTAGTATGATGGTATAACTATTAAGTTGCTTACAGTAAGAGATCCAATAATTATGATATACACTCACATTACTACACAAATGTCGTAAAGACTTCTTGTAATATCAGTCAAAGTTTATGTACTACACACCTTTTTTTTTTGATTTTTTTCTTTTAATGTTAAGTATTGTATTACACACGACATTTTGTATTACACCTTTATCAAAAAACTGAAAAAGACATTTTGTATTACACACGTTCCTCTTTTTTATTTTTTCTCTATTACACACGTTCGCATTGATACAACATCTATTCGGAATTACTCCCTTTGTCCCGCCGTTGATTTCATGTTTAAGACTCTAAAATGTAGTTTGCGATTTTCTGTTTATATGGTCCATGGTATAGAAATCTTTGGCAACGCCTTAATATTGAATAACATACAATTGATAGTACTATTATGCTGCCACTACTTTGACATATATACTAGTTAAAAATTAAAATACATGAAGGAAAAACGTAAGTTAAGAAATATTATTCCTCTTAGCTATAATATTACATAGCAAAGAATACTATAATCTGGCTTTTTCAATATATCATAACCATTTAACTATGTAAGGTAATATAAATTAAGTATATTGGGACATTTTGAGAAAGCTTGACTTTTTAACGATTGGGCACCCAGAAGCATGGATTCACAAATACAGGAAGTTTCTTGTGCTTTGATGATACCAACGCAAATGATCGTGATTTCATCACCCGAGCATCCATGCTGGATCATGTTCATCAAACAAAATTGATTACACTAAAGAAATATTCAAATTGATTCCATTTTCCTCAAGTTTTTATTTTTTTGGCTATGTGTCTCATGACGAGTGGAGGCAATAGATCTTTTTATTTTTGGATGTGTGTGTCTCACTCATAACTGGAGGCAATATATCGATCACATGTTCTCTAAGAGAATATATTCATTTTTTTTGGGATAAAGATGGTATTAACAAAGGCAATATGTCGTTGGTTTTATCAAGTGAAGGAAATGGGCCACATAAGCAAGCCCAATGTCATAAGAAGGAAGAAGAAGAAGTTGTGAAGCCCAAACATGTGAGGTCTGTTAACAGAGAGACTGCAGAGCTCCTCTCTCACGCGAAGTATGCGAGTAAACGTTTCGTTGACCGTTTTGACGTCCTCGAGTCCAACGCTATTCCCAGTTATTAGACATCTGTCAAGTTATGTGCTGTTCTTCTCTTCTTGAAAAGTATCATGCGCTGTATCTAAATCTCTACGAAGTGAAATCAGACAGAAAGTCGATGCCTTTGCTAGAGTTTAGAGCTTTTGTCAAAGATTTCAGATGGGACATAAACCAGTAACCACCACTACAACATGTTCACATAATCTGAAACTCAAAAGTACTTGTTTAAACAAGTTTGGTGTCTGAACGTGTTAACATCATTGATAACTCAACGTTTAAAAGAAAGGGAAACAAAAACCCATATATATTAGCGTAGATACTTTAACTGTTAGAGTAGAGTATAGGGTTCGCTGGGATTAACATTACAAAAAGATTTATGGATCATCAAATCCATCTGGTAAGGGTAAGGAGGCCCGTTGTTGTCTTGTCAGTCATCATGGTTCGAACTACTTTCATCAGGTTCGGGGAAGAAAGGCTGTGCCCATGTGACCTGAAACCTCTGGCCGTCGATGACTAGACCCTCGGAGAGTTGTTGCATGGCCTTCTCAGCTGCTTGTCGGGTTGTGAAATTGACAAACGCCCAGGCCCAGCCGTGCGTGTATGTCATAGTGACACATTGGATGTCTGCATAAGCAACAAAGTGGTCACGCACGTCCTGCTCGAGGACACTCTCGTCAAGTCCACGGACGAGAAGAGTTCTGACGCTTTTATCCTTTGGCGGTTCCAGAGTGCAAGGACCAGCTTCTGCATGTAACGCTGCCACATCTGGCCTGCTTAAAGTCCTGTGAGAAGAAGAAATTCATTAAGATTAGAAAAGACACGTAAATGAATAAGAGGAAAACGAACATAAGCAAAGTGGCTTACTCTTGTCGATGGCGCTCTCTTTCTTGTCTGGGCGTCTCCTTCTTGTATACAAGATGATCACCGGATTCTGGCCTCCTTGCAACTTTTTTCTTGGGCTACGTAGGTAAATAAGAATAATAACAGTCAATATCACCAAAAACCTAAACCTCTCAAGATTTAACACAACACACAGTACAATATCAACGACCAAGAGAGGAGAAGACAAAGAAGACCAAACCTTCTTCGAAAGGCAAGGGTCGCAAAGGACTGGCACGTCGGAAGAAGAAGCTAATTTCTGAGACACATTGACAAATTGGTTCAAAGAATCCTGATGAGATTCGCGGACCCATGCTAGTCTTAGCCACTGACAATTGACGACTAGCCAGTCGTCGTCAAGCCCTTGGGTGGCCTTCTCAGCTCCTTGTCGGGTTTTGTATGTGACATACGCCCAGTCATCCAAGGCCAAGGATCTGACATGGATAGATTCGATTTCTCCATAGGAGACAAACTTTTCACGCATGTCCTGCTCGAGGTATCTCAAGTTATCTCCTCGGAGGACAAGCGTTTTGATGCTTTTATCCTCTGGTGGTACCAAATTCCGGAGACCGCTAGGATTTGCAAAGGGATCATCCAATCTGCGAGATCACAATTCACATCTGTCAGTGGTTAATCTTGTTGAAAGAAGAAAAAGAAATCAAAGATTGTTTGAGACCAAAGAAAGATGAGAAGGAGAAGAAGAGGAAATCCGTTTCAGATGAATAAATGCATCAACTACTTTTTTGACGACAAATAAATGTGCAAAATTATGTAAGGGGCCACAACTACTTATAACATTAATGGAACCAAGAGGCCCTAAAAAAACAAGACTACGTGAGAGGCAAGCAGAAACATGGAAACAATTTCACCTAAAACGAGACTCAGGCAATACAGAAGAAAATAGCTTACCCTGAGGGATGAGTGGGCATCTCATGTGCTGCAGGAATGAAAGACTCTTGGCTGAATCCAAGTCTTGCACGCCTTATCAAAGCATCCTCACTCCAACTCTACATCACTTAAGACTTATTAGATACAAGCTATCAGAATCAGCTCTTCGAACCATTAATTAACCATTAATCATTACTCTACATCAAACTTGGACGAGCAAGCAACCTAATCAGAGATGAGATCCGTAAATCTTCTTCACGAAAAAGATACAAGGAAACAAAAAAAAGCAACACAAGGGAGAGAGAAGATTCTACCTTTCGGACGCACGGATTGAGGCAAGAACTGCAGGTGATCGGGAACTCGGAGCGAACCCGTACATCGCCTTCGTCATCTCTCAATACATCGCCTTCATCATCTCTCAATCTTTTGTGACCCATTCTCGTCGTCTGGCTCAGATTACTCGGTTTCAATCTCTGGGAGGCGAACGGCTGATGTGCCGGTACTTATACTAGGGCAGCAAAGGGAAAGCGATGGGATTTGCGTCTCTTGTAGATTTATTTCCAAAAATGCGAAATGGACATTTTCTTCTTTTTTTTTTTTTTTAATACAGTACTAACATCTAATTTTCTTTCCTACATCCTTCGGTTTATGTTAATTTTTGGCCCAGAAATTGCGGCCTTTAGATGTGTTATGAAATAATAAATCTGTTTGTTTATATACCCGTTTACAGGATACACTACACTTTAGACGCGTTTAAAAAGGCCGTTTAAGTTTAAGATCCGCGCTGACTAAACAAGTCTATACACATTAAAACGGCTACCTGTTTTTTCATTACCCACTAGACTAATGCCCGCGCATACGCGCGGGTTTGTTGTTGTTAAAGTTTTTAAAAAATGCTCGAATTTTATAAAGTATAATCCAATAATATCCATATTTAATTCTATTTGTTGGTTAGCGACTGACTTTCAAACATATATTTTTGTATCATACCACATGTCTATGAACCATTAACTCTCTTTGTTTACTCACGACCACATAGAACGGACTCTACTAATAGAGTGATTTTTGCTAATCCATTTCTCCATATATTAGGAGAATTTAGATGTTTAATAATAACTTAAGATGGAAGCCGAAATGTAAAAGCTTGGATTAATAGAGTGATTTTTATTATCATAAGTTGAAATGTATAAGATTTAGAGTTATTGACTGGAAAGAAGAGGAAAAGTCATGCCACAATATCAATTAATGGAGTGTTGAAACAACGTGGAAGGTGAAGCAACTGACGGTTTTGAAACCTATTATAACTGTAACGACTAAGAATGCGAAGAGACTGCTCTCTTTAAAAGTTTTGCCACATGTCAATCATATGGAGAGAGTTGGCCTCAATTCATATATATGATGTGTTTTTTCATGTATCATTTCATTATTCTACAATATATATGTTCATGTGACATTTGATTGTACCAATTCACACAGCAAAAACTCATATGCCTCTCCAGGTGATGACATTTCTGTAAGCTTTTGAACCTGACACTTCATAAAAATCATCAGCCAATAGCCAATAGAAACATTTCAATTAATCACAGTCAGCAGCTTAGTCGGTTTAAGTTCTACGTTTTTAATCCGGTTCGGTTTAATGTTACTCGGTTACCACACTCATTTTTCCTTCATCGTTGACCCAATTTTCCTCCTTTCCCGAATCCCATTCTCCATAGCATATCTCGATGCTTCTCAGTCTCCTCGCCTTTACGATTTCTCTTCTACTTTAATTCTCGATGAATCCCAGCTGTTTGTTCGATCTTCGTTTTTCTTCGGAGGAGGCTTAGAGTTGGAGATTCACTTTTTGTGGTCCTTCTCGAGCGTCCTGCCGGAAAAGCTACAGGCAAAGCTATGTTCTTCTTCATACTTTTTAATTTCGTTTTAAAATTATACATTTCGTTGATTTCTAAATAGTAGATTGCCCAAGGAGATTAAACAAATCTCAATTGAATACTATGAATTCATCAATGACAACGAAATTGAAGAAACCTAATAGTGCAAGCGTTTGCCTTTGTGTGAAATTAGCAGTTTTTGCTTATCTTTTGGGTTTCTGTGAAAGATTTGCGGAGTGAAGTTTTACGATTAAACAACATGTACATAGTTTAGTATCTCAGATTTCTCCGATATTACTTACATATCATGTGTTTGTCTTGTTCGTTGAGAACCTATGTCGCTGGTCTTTTTCATTTGGTTTGTTTGTTTTCAGTCAATTCTTGGGATGGGGAGAAAAATCGTACCTTGGAACTTAATTTGTTGTCTGTGTGAATTAGTTTTTTTTCTTTGTGGTTTGTGTTTGTTTGATAGGCTTGTTGTGTCTCAATCGAGCCTGAACTCAAGATTGTTGCTGATTTTGAAGGTCCATGCTTTTGATTGCAGATTGTTGTTCTGTAGTTTGACTTTGTTTCTGTTCCATGTTTCTTAAATAAAGATTGATGAGTTTCGTTGTACTCTTCACATAATACTCTCCTTAAGTGTTTTTTTGTTTTTTGTTTTGTGGCATAACCCTCTCTCAAAAGTGGAAAACAATAAGGATGACTGAATCATCGCCAAACATCATCTTCTGAATCCAAATCAGAGGTACTTTGTCACTTTCATGTCATAGCAATTAAGAGTGTTTTTATTGAAAGTAGAAACACATATTTTGGATTGACTAATACTAACCTTCAATTTATCAGCTTATGCAGAAAACCACCAAAATTATAAACAGAATCAGACGCCAAAAATGTCACCATAACTCGACAACATCATGCCAAATGTTAGTTACAGAGATCAAAATAGTTGTTTCAATCGGACAAAGAAATGAAGACAAAATATAATTTAATTTGGTACTTACGTGAGATGAAAATTTAGCTGGATCCCAACAAATTCAGTAAACAATCAAAACGGCAGCATGTAAAACAAATGTATTTGGGCCTAGGCCCTACGTTAACAAAAACGAAGACTCGATAAAATGAATGCATTTCTATAATGAAACTTAAAACAACCAATTCTAAAATGAAAGCATTTCTATAATGTAATTAAATATACCGCAGCGAAGCGCGGGTACCAACCTAGTACCATTAATAGTTCTTGAATCTGATTTCCTCCAGTTTTGTTTTGAATTTGAGAACTGTCTCTTTCGGATCTATTGCTTTGAACAATCGAGTTAAGAAGTTTTGTTTCTCGCGCATTTGGTAATAAAATCTATTTTCCAGTGACTTTGGGCATTGGAATTGTGGTCCATTCAAAAATTAATTGACCATTTCATACTCTGCTCACATTCATGTTGTAAAGCATATATTCTCTGCCTTTGGTCCTCTGTCATCACAAATTAAAGGTAAATCATAGTCGATGCTGATAATATGTTGGAATTGTTTGGTTTTAAAGTCAAGAAACGGTATACGAGGCTTCAAATTTCTAGACATACTCAGATTTCTGAAAATCAACGGAAACGTAGTAATATATACCGAAAAATACACATGCACGTACGTGGTCACTGTTTTCCTTTGGAGGAGACTAAAAATAGACATCAATTGTCAAACAAGAAATGTGCTGTCTTTTCCTAAAACCTAATCTCTTATGGATAATATTAAATAGCTCTATTAAATATATGCATTGAAGGCAACATTACAAAAGGAATTAAAAATGGTGATAAAAAAATTAAGAAATGAAATCGTATCCTTTAGTATTCAATAGAAGTCTAAAAAGACATACAGTAATATGCATTACCGCGTGTTTGCAAATCGCTTTGCTTGCAATCAACCATCTTCCTCTCTCTGTAAGCAACACACAAATTGACAAAACCCCAAGCATCTTCCAAAACTATCCACAAAAATTGGAATATAATGTTTTATATAGCTAAATCAAACCAAACATCATAATATTCGACTTTCATAAAACTATTATGTAATGAAATAAACATATTCGTAACATCTTGCATACGGTTTGGCATATATAGAAGCAATCTTCTTTTATAAATTTATAAAATGCCCCAACATTTCTCTTTAACTGGGTTGGGGGGCACGACTGTCAAACCATTAATTATTGAGAAAGACCCCTTTTGTTTACACCAACTTCCAAATCCTTCGTTATCTCTTTCTCCTCACAAAATTAGAAGAAAGCGAGGCGAAAAAGTCAAAGTCTTGATCACCACCAAACCTCTCTACCCTCCACCACCAATTCACCATCACCACCTCCTGCTCATCCTCCTCCACCACTTTCTCAGCCGCCTCCAGACGAAAAAACGCTCTCCGTTTCTCTTCCCGACATCCAATTCCTCTGTTTTACTTTTACCCTGACCCGTCTCGTTTCTTCAGCCCCGATCTCCTCTCAGCTCCGTCTCCGGTAACTCATCTATCAAAATCTCAACGACCCACGCGGTTTTATCGTTTTCCGGGAACAGCGAAACTCAATAACAACCAGACGTGGCTGACTTTCGCATCTTCGCCGATTAATCTGGCCAACGACGGCGGTTCTTCGATCAATTGCAGTGGTGGGTGTTGGGGTATAATCCGTGTTACCGGATTCAAATTCCAGATTTTGAATCCGATTCGAGTTGCTGTTACCCGATTTCCGGCGACGCTGATTTCAAAAAGCCATTCGCTTTGGAATATAAATGGGAGATCTCCTGATGCTCGCTCATCCTCTTCATCTCAAGCTTTTAGCAACCGACGATTGTTAGCCTCCACGGAGATTTAGTAGGCGTCGTCCGAGATTCATGGGTTTTAAGACCGGACTCCGTCAAAAGAGATTCTCACGAAGAGATCATCTCAGCGCTCGTCAAAGACGTTAACGCCTTGGACTCATCAGCTCGTATTTCTACTCGAAACTGATCGCGAGATTAGCGAACAAGTTTGCCACCTCGATGTGAAGGAGATGATCGAGCCGTGTGGTTAGCGGGAGTTTCGAACCGAACGGGGCAAGGATCCGGAGATACGGGAGCAGATTTCGGAATCGGGATTTACAACGACCACCATTATCACCTAGGCTACTTTCTCTACGCGATTGCTGTGCTCGCTAAGATGGATCCTTTGTGGGGGAAGAGATACAGGCCAGACCGACCTCAGGGAAGAAAAAAGGGGCTAGCTCCAATTCCAATTACCCGCTTTTGAGAATTGAGATGCTTCGATCTCTTCAAGCTTCATTCTTGGGCTGGAGGGTTAACGGAGTTTGCCGGCGGGAGGAATCAGGAGAGCACGAGCGAAGCCGTGAATGCGTATTACTCCGCTGCGTTGTTAGGATTAGCTTACGGCGGCGATTAAGATCCGCTAACTAACTTAAACGGGTTTAAAAAGGCCGCCCCACATTAAAACGGGTAGGCTATTTAATTACATACATATATGTAAATATCGGAGAGTTCACATATTTCACTCTGCATATGTTATGAGAGAACAAAGAGAAACCAATGACGTACGCTCTCTTTAGTGTAAGTCCTTTGTTTTGTTATTTATTTTTTTTCATTTTTTTCTGCTGCCTTAGCTTTTTTTTAGGCGGTGAAATAAATTTAATCTAGCAATCTCTCTATACACACTTTTCGTCACAATTTTATTGCTCGAGTGCATGTGTATATATGTTTTATGTTGCTAATTCAGATAGTGCTGATCAATTCTATTTGTGTGGTTACCAGGAAGGACCTATGTTGGGGATGCTTTTCTCAATAATTACTATAACACTAGCTTTTGTTGGGGATGCTTTTCTCAATAATTACTATAACACTAGCTTTTGTGTTTATTGAACCAAATAGTTTGAAAGATCTTACACTTGAATTCAAACATCATTCTTGATTGTTCAGCTGGGATATTGTTATCTTCCGTCTGATGGAGAAGTTGGGGCCCACCAACACCGCCATCATGTAGGCAGTAAGAAACTGAAGAATGAACTCGATCATAATAATGCTACAATATGAAAACTTCACCAAAGAAGTCTCTGGCGACTCTTAAGGATAAATACCTCCGTAAAGTGAGAACCGTCACTTTAATAGTTTAATGTATGTATTTTCTGTGAACATATTAATTTTGGAAGAAGTTCTGTTTTATTACCTTATATTATTATGGCATACGTTATATGCAAACATCTGTTCTTTGAACTTTTACTCCAAGCCTTACATAGGATTCATTCTTTTGTGAGTTACTGAGTTATTTAACTTTTTGTAAAACTCCAGAGAATCTCCTTGGAGAGAAAAACTTCTCCTGCTGATAAATCTTTACAGTGCTTTGTTTTACTAATACTTCAATAAAGTTTTATTCGACAAAGAAGAGAAAAGAGAAATAATATTCGAAGAACATATAAAAATGAAATTAAAAAAATGCATAATACAACCGGTTTTGGAAAAACCATAGCTATGCTTGTGACGGATGCAAAACTTTGTACCATTCTTGGTTTTCTCTTTGCAATGGAACCGGTGTTATACTTATTTCATTAACATGAGATCTTTGCTATTCCACTGAAAATTCCTTTTTGATACTAAAAGTTTATTCACTTTTGATATAGTGGAGAGTGGAGGCAGTCTGAAGATACTCATCGATCGTTAATATTTTTGTCTTTTAGGGTGCCTAAAGAACTTTTTTAGATATCATTAATCAATTTCCTTTCTCATATCATATTTCAAGAACAATTTCCTTATTCAAACATACTATATATTATTCATATTAACTATATTCTAATTTAAAGAAATTATATTTTCTAATGCCAACAAAAAAGAATCAAAATTTAATATTAATATCTTTTTAATATATATGATAAAAACAAATTTAATATTAAAATCTTTTTAATATATATGATAAAAATCAAAAGTTAACCGGTCTTAAATTTTGAATCTTCACAAGTCCAAAGTAATTAAACAAAGTTCTTCGATTTTTGTAGTAATTATCTTTGAAGGATTTATACAAAAACATTTGAAAAACTATAAAATTTATCATGAAAAATTATATAAACCATGAGGTGAGATTTTTTTAGCAAACTTAAAAAACAAAAAGAAAGTTACACCCTAATTACTGAAGAATTTCTCAAAGCAAACATAGCTAACTTTGCAAGAAAGTCAACCTTAACATTGTATAATCTACATATGAAATAAAAGGAAAAGAAACAAAAGAAGAACATAGATGGCTAATGTCGTGTAGAAAACATTTAAGCTCATGTGCAGTTCCCTTTAAAATGATGAGGAGATCAAGTTTTGCGAATCCCAAATTACACCGAGAGAAGAAAAATATATGTCTAACACACTAGATAACGCTTCATTCATCACAAGATGTTCAACAATAATGGTCGAAAAGTAAACAATATGATTGCATTGCTATGGACCATAGGAGAGTTCATAAAAGATTTCATAATCCAATCTCATACCACATTTTTCTAAGAAAATCTTCCAAGTTGCACTATCAAAACAAAATTTTGTGTTCCATACTATTGTGCATGCCAAACATAGAGGGTAAATAGAGGCTGCATTCTTAGCTGATATTCGGGAATCACTCATTCATGGGCATGATTCACACTTCACAGTCTTAAGGAGGATTTTATCTTAATGTAAATCACAATATTCAAATAGAAAAGAGATGACGAGGCTTCTACAAATGCCAAAAAAATCAAGGGTAGAAAGGAGTATACAACAAAACTATTGGAGACAGAGTAATCATCTTTGTTGCACTTTGAATGAGTTCTGATAAAGGAGTTGCGATGAAGGGTGTTCGCTTGCCATAAGTTTGTTGAGGAAAATGGCTGAATCACAAACTCATACTCCAAAATGCATATGAAAAATATATGGAAGAAGAACAGTAGGAAGATGAAAATAAAGAACATCAAAGTCAAAGATACCAAAGTAGAAAGACAAAAAAAAAAGAAACAATGAAGAACGAAGATGAAGACGGAAATATTGAATAAGAAACCACAAAGATGAAATTGAAAATTAACAAATTAAAGAAGAAACCAAACAAGAACGAAAAAGAGAAAGCAAGACGAGCGAAGACGAAGAAGAGGAAAATGGAAGATGAATGTCGATAAGTGAAGATCAAGAAAAAAACGAATAAGAATAAAGGTAAAGAAAAAGAAGCTATCGATGAGGAACAAAGACAAAGAAAAAAACAAAGCAGCAAAGAGGGAAGAAGTATAAAACAAACAAATATAAGAACAAGAACGAAAAAAGAGAATAAAGGACAATGACGTCCGTGATTTAACTTCTCTTCAAATTAGGTTTTATAATCCTAGAAATCTAATCAAGAATTGTCACCAGATTTGGCCATTTTAAAGAGATAGATATGGTTATTTTTAGAAAAATGGATGATGCCAGAGTATCAAAATATCTAAACAACAAAATATAACATATAAAAATAAATTAACTCAAAAAACAATAATGGTTTGGGTTGATCATGTTATCAAACTATTGAAGGGGAAAATTTTAGAATATGTTCTTATGTCCAATTTTTTGAAGCAATGGACGAAACATGTAAATATATCTAAAATATCTTATATCGAGTTCAGCAAATGAAGATATCTTCGATATAAACATTACAATTTTATGTGGAGTTCTGTCAAATGATTATAATCATCAAACTAAAACGAGTATGAAGTTTTGACGAAATTGTGACACAATATAGCAATAGAGCAATATTTCTAAATCAGCATGCTATGCTAGAGATATACTAATTTTGTTTGCATGTAGTTAACAACTATGAAAGCAACTATAAAAAAAATTAACACGTTTTGGAGGTTGATATAAATTTGTATGTAAGATTACAGAAATAAACAAACATTATTTATCTTTAAAAAGCAAAAAAAAAGTATTTTTAATTAGGTAAAATCATGGAATAGTTTCATGAAATTATTATGTGAATTGAGGTCAAATGCAGATGTAACCTACATTTTCTCCCTTGTATAGCAAAATATTTTTTAAATACATCTATGATGCATTATGATTTGATAAACTGAAAGGTATGACTAAATTAAATAAAATTAAAAACCTAGTATTGTTGTAACTTGTAAGAAGGGGAGTCGAAATTTTGGAGAAGCAGAAAATTCCATCTCGTCTCTTTGACCAATCTCCACGACCTTTTTCAGGTGACTGAACCAGATCCAATTAAACCGAACCGAAACAAATTGACCGAAACCAAGTCAAACCGGAATTGAACCAAACGTTCACGAAATGCTTCTCTCTTTTTGCACCACTTTCAAAGAGAAGCCTTTTGCCAGCGACGAATCCGGAATCCGGAATCGCCCGTTAATATAGTAAAACGACACCGTTCGGCAGCCAGATCAAGCCCATATCTTCGACTTCTTCTCGCGCCTCCTTCATTGATCTAACTCGGAAAATCGGAATTTTGCAGAGGTGCATACTCGTTTATGATTATGAGAGCAGGAAATTACCTCTTGTCACAACAGCAGCAGAATCCAGGATCCGATGGTGATATCCGGACGCTGTGGATCGGTAATTTGCAGCCGTGGATGGACGAGTTCTACATCATGAGCATCTTCGCTCAACCTGGCGCGGTAATCTTAAGCATGCGTCATGTGAAATCTTAGGAATAGTAACCGTCTTTTCGTTATCATGTTGAAGATTTGACAAGTATCGTCGCTTCTCTTAAGCGACAAAAATTGAAATAGAGAACAACGATTCTTCGTTTCAGCCACGTTTAATCGATTCGTGTAGCACTGGGTATCTTCATTTCCTGTTTATAAGTATATGCCTTAGGCCCGTAGCAAGTGTTGTGATTCGTCGTATATATGGTTAGTGAAGGCTTGGTGCCTTAGGTAGCGTTGTGATTCGTATATATGGTTAGTGAAAGCTTGGTGTTTTATCAGTGGTTTCAGGCTCAGTCGGCTAAAGTCATTCGCAACAAGGGCTATGGATTCATTGAGTTTGCCAACCATGGTGTAGCTGCGTGGGTTTTGCAGGCTTACAACGGTACTCAGATGCCCAGCTGTGAGCAGACCTTCAGGCTGAACTGGGCTCAGTCCGGGGCTGGAGAGAGACGCCAAGCTGCAGGACCCGAGTACACCATTTTCGTAGGCAACCTGGCTCCTGAGGTCTCTGACTACGTGCTCACGCAGACATTTAAGAGTGTATACCCGTCTGTCAAGGGGGCAAAAGTTGTGACTGACAGGACCACTGGGCGCTCTAAGGGATATGGTTTCGTCAGGTTTTGGGATGAAGGTGAGCAGATGCGTGCCATGACCGAAATGATTGGTCAGTACTGCTGGACCAGGCCTATGCGTATTGCTCCGGCTGACAACAAGCAGCCTCTTACAGTGGGTCCAGGTATGTTTTACATTAAGAATTTGCTTGCTCTGAGTATGTTCAAGTGAGTTCATGTGATTTTGTTTCCTCCACTGTATTTTGTTTGGTTCCCCTGCTTGTATCCTGTGAAGTGTTGATTTGAATGATCATTGCAAGCCTTGTATCAGTTAACATGTGTTGTTGCTCTTCAGTTTAGTTTCCTTAGCCTTGTCGAGTGGTTTTATGCAGTACAATAGATTCCTTAGCCTTCTCTCCCGTCTGTTGTTCGCAGCTATGTATCAGGACAACCAAGGAGCAAATCCGGGAGAAAGCGATCCCAGTAACACAACGGTGAGCAGTTTAGTTCTGCTTTATTTCCCTCATTTGATGTGTTTTGTTTTGCTCGAATGAAAGCCTGATGCATCTCTAATTTCAGATACTTGTCGGAGCTGTTGATGTTAGCGCCACAGACGATGAATCCAAGTCGGTATTTGGTCAATGCGGAGAGCTAGGTCATGCGGAAATACCTCCAGGAAAGAGTTGTGGTTTCGCTGAATCTTCCAACAGGTATAATTGTCACATAACCCATTCGCCATGTACGCAAAACCCGTTTCGTTATTGTGGCTCACACTTCATACTCTTCAGGGCGTCTGCAGAGCATGCACTTTCGAGGTGGGATGGACAGAGCGACCGTGCTCACAAGAAGGTTTGTTTATTTACCTGTATTATGTCTCTAGACTATCGGTTCACAGCAAAATCATGACTTGAAACTATACAGTCGCAGCCTGATCAATCCCTATGGAATGGTGGTGCATACTATGAACCTATGTGTTGACATAGGAGCTATCTCTTTGATATTTTACTAGGGCTAGTTGTAGTTTTAGTCGTTATTGATTAGTGATTTACCACCACAACGTACGGAGGCTTTGCTCATTCGTCTAAGCTTTGATATTGTAGGGCCGCACGGCAAACGCAGCACCATTTAGTGGTTTCCCAACCGACCTCGTAGAGCATATCCTTGCTGGAGTTCCGGGGAGATCGACAGCAAACTTTGGTCACATATGCAGAGAATGGAGATCCATACTTGCCCACCCGAACTTTAAAAAGTCGTTCCTGACTAGGGGTTATAGTTTTCGACGCCTGCTCTTGCTCACATTCCGAGATAATGGCCAGAGACTCTCCTTCTCTTCACCTCTGGATTCAGATGGCAAGAACTCTCTTGTACTCTCCCCTTACCGTCCGTGCCCTAGAGATCTTTCAGATAGAGTAGGTTGTCCACAGGAGGGATTCATCACTGGTAGGGTTCAAGAAGCTGGCATTGCAATTTGGAACCCCCTCACAACAGAGTTGGTATCTTTACCGGAGGTGGAACTCATGAGCGGTGTTGAGGCAATTCCGTTTCTAGGATATGATCCTACGGATGTACAGTTCAAGGTATTGTGCATCAAAGCCACGCAACTCCCATATGTTAATGTGAATCTGAGCATGGCGAATCAAGGGAATATGATTCTGACATTGGGGAATGGACAACATTTGTGGAGATCAGTCAATTCCAAGCCCCATCATCCTTTATCTAAAGGAGTTTGCATAGAAGGTACTTTGTATTATACTGCTGGGGTTTATAGCTGGATGAAGGTGTCTATGGTCGTCTGTTTCGATATAAGATCCGAGGTTTTTAGATATATCGACATAGAAGAAGGCACGAGCAGATTCATGAATTCTTCTTCTACTCTAGTCAACTACAAGGGTAAATTGGGTGCACTTCAGTTCACATTTGCCTACCCTAAACGTCTTGAGCTCTGGGTGCTTGAAAAGTCTGAGACATGGTCTACAACCATATACGAGTTTCCTGAGTCTTTTGGAAACATTGTTGAGCAGACCGAGTTAACCATTGTTGGAATGGACTCGAGGGATACAGATACGGTTTTGTTGGCGCCCCACTTTCTCTCTTCGCCGCCCTTCTACATTTATTATTTTGGACTGCAGAGGTGCACTGTCACTCGGGTTGAAATACAAGGGTTTGGAAAAGTCAGCCATAAGAAGGTTGACCTACGTCTAGGCTACATTGAGAACTTGAAAACACTGTAAGTCCTTTAAAATCTTGTACTTTAGTAGTGTTTCTCTTTGTGTTTCATGATGATATTCTTCTGAAAGTATCTAAATTTTGTTTGAAGGGCTGACTATGGCAACTAGCACATTTTATCCAAAGGGAGGCTATTTCAAGAGGAGGAGCAAGGTAACTTTTTTTCTCAATGTCAAAATCCCTTTTAATCCTCTACCGGCTGCTGTGTTCTATGTTCTATCCCTGAGTGTTTAGTGGCTTATACATGCATTTTATCCTAAACCCTGTGATCTTTCGTTTTTTAGAGTACAAGAAGAAGTCACTCGGTATCTTGGAACATCAATATGGGAGTTTAAGAAGAATGAAGCATGCGCGCAAGTGTTTTTTTCTTTCAAAATTTAACCCACAAAAGACACAACCAAAATCTTGTCTTCAGTTTACAGATTTACGTTTTTTACTTTGAAGGTGTTTCCTTTTCTTCCCCTTCCGTGTTATTACTTATTAACCGTAAGAAACAGAGTCCATTCCCCTGAATCCTCAGTAAATAAATAAAAAAGTCTCGAGTGCTTCTTGATTAACTCATACAACTCACCCTCATCGAAACAGAGCAAGCTTACAGAATGTAAGATCACTATATAAGTTCGTACTTCTATTTATCGACAATATCTTCCGTTTCGTACAAGCAGGATCCGAGGTATCCGCCTTATTGGGTAGAATGCCTTCGGCTGTGGGTTATCAACCCACCCTTAGTACCGAAATGGGTTCTTTACAAGAAAGAATTACTTCTACGAAAAAAGGGTCCATAACCTCTATTCAAGCAGTTTATGTACCTGCGGACGATTTGACTGACCCCGCTCCTGCCACCACATTTGCACATTTAGACGCGACTACCGTACTATCAAGAGGATTAGCTGCCAAAGGTATCTATCCAGCAGTAGATCCTTTAGATTCAACGTCAACTATGCTACAACCTCGAATCGTTGGCGAGGAACATTATGAAACTGCGCAACAAGTCAAGCAAACTTTACAACGTTACAAGGAGCTTCAGGACATTATAGCTATCCTGGGGTTGGACGAATTATCCGAAGAGGATCGCTTAACCGTAGCAAGAGCACGAAAAATTGAGCGTTTCTTATCACAACCCTTTTTCGTAGCAGAAGTATTTACAGGTTCTCCGGGAAAATATGTTGGTCTAGCGGAAACAATTAGAGGGTTTAAACTGATCCTTTCCGGAGAATTTGATTCTCTTCCCGAACAGGCCTTTTACTTAGTGGGTAACATCGATGAAGCTACTGCGAAGGCTACGAACTTAGAAATGGAGAGTAAATTGAAGAAATGACCTTAAATCTTTGTGTACTGACTCCGAATCGAATTGTTTGGGATTCAGAAGTAAAAGAAATTATTTTATCTACTAATAGTGGGCAAATTGGCGTATTACCAAATCATGCGCCGATTGCCACAGCTGTTGATATAGGTATTTTGAAAATACGCCTTAATAACCAATGGTTAACGATGGCTCTGATGGGCGGTTTTGCTAGAATAGGCAATAATGAAATCACTATTTTAGTAAATGATGCAGAGAAGAATAGTGACATTGATCCACAAGAAGCTCAGCAAACTCTTGAAATAGCAGAAGCTAACTTGAGAAAAGCTGAAGGCAAGAGACAAACAATTGAGGCAAATCTAGCTCTCAGACGAGCTCGTACACGAGTCGAGGCTCTTAATACGATTTGATTTTGTAACTAGCTGACGTGTAAAAAAAAAGAATGTATAAAAAAAAATAGGATCGAAAGGCGAGAAAAACAAAAAAAGAAAAAAGCTGGTTACAAAAACTTATTAGACACCATGAATCATGGTGTCTAATAAGTTATACCTACTATTGGATTTGAACCAATGACTCCTGCCGTATGAAAGCAATACTCTAACCACTGAGTTAAGTAGGTTATTTATCATCGTAAAGAGAAAGCAAGGGGGTACCTATCACATCGATAGGATTATAAATCTAATATTATTTCTAAGCAATACCAATAAACAACGAGATTCAAGAGATATAATGTTCGATCATATAATATTAATCTTGACAAGAAATTATCTACATGATAAGATAAAATGTGTATCACAAATACAAGGGCTATAGCTCAGTTAGGTAGAGCACCTCGTTTACACGTGCGCCAAAGTTTTTCAGAGGAGTTCATCACGCAATCAAACCAATTGATTGATCTTATTAATAAATCGATGTCTTACTCCACGACTTTTTTTTAGGAAAAAAAGAGGAGAACAACAGCCTGACATTAGGTCCTATTAAAGTACCCCGTTAGGTAGGGGATGAATAGAACCCATCATTGATTTGAGATATTGATAGGGTGAATACCTAGTCTACTTAATGCTAGGCAGAATGAGTATAAGGAACTCAAAAATGATCTTTTCGTCCTATGAACCTTAAGGTGTATCAAGTTTCATGTTTGATTTTTTAATCAGGATGTTAGAGACTATATTTAACTTAAGTTGATCTAGACCAAAAGCAAACCTACGTCAAGAGAACCCAACCCTCTTTTGAAACACTTTGGTAGTTCTTCTGTATTGTATTAGAATTAAAAAAAACCAATCAGAGTACTTGGAACCATTTCTTATCTTTTTTTTTAAGAAAAAATTTGGTAGACTAACTGATCCTTCTATCAGTTAATGAAAGAGCCCAATGCAAACAAAAATGCATGTTGGGTCTTTGAAAGAGTTCGAATCATTTTGATAATAATAAGTTCGAACTCTTTTACCGAGCAGGTCTACGGTTCGAGTCCGTATAGCCCTAACTAAGACTAAGAAATTGAGTCGAATAAATGACATTCAAATCAAAATAATTGGATAATTTTTTTTACTTAATTATTGTATTCTTTATTTCTAACTGGTTACGTTCAATTACTTGGTTCATAAAAAAAATTCCCATACCCCAAACCATAAGTCCTGGGGATCGTTCAGAATAAAACGGAAAACGGCATTTTATTTCAATAGATCCAACCACTATCTATCGATATATCTAGATAGATACTTGATAGGTTAGAATAAACTTTTTTTTCTTCATTAATTTTCATAGTCGTAAGTGGATTTTTTGTTTATACTTCATAATTTAAAAAACAAAGAAATTTTTCTACATTTTTTTGATTTCTAACTAAAACATAACCAAAATTTCATAAACAGAAATCCAAAAAATTACTAGTTATTAATAATATTACTATTATATTATATATTATTAATATTAGAAACTATTAGTAATAGAAACGTGGAAATATTAAGTAATTAAGTGTACTTAAAATAAGATTACAATTAATAAATCTTAAAATGAGACGTCTACCACAGCAACCAAACGAAAAAAAATCATTCGATTAACCTGAATTTTTGTTTTGACTCAAGAGTTCTATATCCCTTGCCCAATCCACTCCGACTGGAATTGACTAGGCGGGTATTTTTTTTTCCACATTCATAGGAGTTCGTCTATGTTTCTGCTTTACGAATATGATATTTTCTGGGCATTTTTAATAATATCAAGTGCTATTCCTGTTTTGGCATTTCTAATTTCCGGAGTTTTATCTCCAATTAGGAAGGGGCCGGAGAAACTTTCTAGTTATGAATCCGGTATAGAACCGATCGGGGATGCTTGGTTACAATTTAGAATCCGTTATTATATGTTTGCTCTAGTTTTTGTTGTTTTTGATGTTGAAACCGTTTTTCTGTATCCGTGGGCAATGAGTTTCGATGTACTGGGGGTATCTGCTTTTATAGAAGCTTTCATTTTCTTGCTTATCCTAATTCTTGGTTTAGTTTATGCATGGCGAAAGGGAGCATTGGAATGGTCTTAGTTCGTTTCCTGAATACTTGTAAAAAAAAAAAAAAAGTAAAAAAAAAACCATTGAAACAATTATGAATTCCATTAAGTTTCCCGTACTTGATCGAACAACAAAAAATTCAGTTATTTCAACTACGTTAAATGATCTTTCAAATTGGTCAAGACTTTCCAGCCTATGGCCGCTTCTTTATGGTACCAGTTGTTGTTTCATTGAATTTGCCTCATTAATAGGCTCCCGATTTGACTTTGATCGTTATGGGCTAGTACCAAGATCGAGTCCTAGACAGGCGGACCTTATTTTAACAGCAGGTACAGTAACAATGAAAATGGCTCCTTCCTTAGTGAGATTATATGAACAAATGCCTGAACCAAAGTATGTTATTGCTATGGGAGCCTGTACAATTACAGGGGGGATGTTCAGTACCGATTCTTATAGTACTGTTCGAGGAGTTGATAAGCTAATTCCTGTAGATGTCTATTTGCCGGGCTGTCCACCTAAACCAGAGGCTGTTATAGACGCTATAACAAAGCTTCGTAAGAAAATAGCTAGAGAAATTTATAAGGATCGAATTAGACCTCAACAGGGTAATCGGTGTTTTACTACCAATCACAAGTTTTTTGTTGTACGCAGTACGCATGCTGGAAATTATGATCAAGAATTGCTCTATCCACCATCATCTACTTCAGAGATCTCTACTGAAACATTTTTTAAATACAAAAGTCCAGTATCTCCCCACGAATTTGTGAATTAGGGAGGATTTTAGAGAATAAGAAAAAAATCTTCATAAATTAGAACTAATGTGAAATACTTATTTTATATAAAAAGGGTGTGGGGGAAATAAAAAAAATGCAGGGCACTTTGTCCGTTTGGCTAGCCAAACGAGGGCTAGTTCATAGATCGTTGGGCTTCGATTACCAAGGAATAGAGACTTTACAAATAAAGCCCGAAGATTGGCATTCTATTGCTGTAATTTTATATGTATAAGCACTCGGTTTCGTTGGTACCACCCAAGCGAATGTGCAATTCCAGTTTTTACTTATTCTTTTACTTATTCAATGAAGGAATGGTCATTTTCAAGCTCAACTAACCGAAACTTACTTAAAAAAAAATTTGCGGAAAGTCTTTGATTTCTTTATCATAATAGGCAAGACTCTTTTTTATCTAGCGAATTCGAAACTAGATTTCTTATTCATTATTTCGATCTCATTAGCTTTTTTTTTTTCATTTTCGTGGATTAATTCCGCATATTGTCATATCTAGGATTTACATATATAACATTTATTACTGTTATTGTGGATAGTTTTTTTTCCTATAGTTGTCAAGATAAAGAGAAGTTTTCCAGATTTTATACTCTGTTTTCTTTTCTCTTCCAATTCTATTTCACTTTTCTTTATCACATGTGTATGCCTTGTACAAGAAGCAATGGTTTCTAAACTGATACAAGAGCATAAAACCTATTACCTAATAGTTCCTGTGGCTAAGAGAGCTTTACGCGGCTACAAAAGGGTTTCACTCGACTAGAGTCATCGGAAGAGGAGCGTTTGGGAAGAACGTGTACAGAGCCATCAGCCATGTTTGTGCCATCGATCATTGCTTGCTTGCGGCACAAGAATCTTGCAGGGTTGGTGTAAGGAGAAGGGAGAATTGCTTCTCGTCTATGAGTTCGTGCTTAATGGAGATTCTGTATCAAGAATCAGAAGCAGGAGCTGTCTCTCTAGACTGGTCACACTCACACAGGGTCAACGTTGCGATTGGTTTAGCTTCGGCTTTGTCGTATCTCCACCACGAATGTGAGCAGCAAGTGGTTCACAGAGACATAAAGACAAGCAACATAATGCTCGACATAAACTCCAACGCAAGGCTATGAATCTTTTGGATTGGGTTTGGAGATTGCACAGTCAAGGAAGAGGACTTGAGGCTGTGGTGGATGAGAGTTTGAAAGGACAGCTCGATGAGGAAATGATGAAGAAAATGGGTTGCTATATATGTGCTCGTCCAGAGAGTAACGAGACGAGAGACCATCTATGAGACGTGCTCTTCAGATACTTAACATTGAGGTTGAGCAAAGGCCGGTTCCGAAGATGAAACCAACATTGTCTTTCACTTGTGGGTTAAGTCTTGAAGACATTGTTTGAGAAGATGAAGAAGGAGACAGCATCGTGTACGTTGTTGCATCCTAGTTAGTATGTAGCTTTTTGATTATTTCGTTTGGTTTCATTTGATTTGTGGCCTCTTGGTTCAGTGAGTTTGTTATATTGAACGATGATGAGGTTTCTGATATTCATAAAAACACATCTCAGAGCCTAATATTTTTCACATAGCAAAATCCAGTTTCGAGATCGACGTACCATTCTTAAGACTGAGTAGTGACAGTAGTGTATATATACATAGTAGAATTACGGTCACAAAACTATGTTTTAGCTAATCCCGGCTTGTGCTCCCTTTCTTCTGTCAACATTTTCCGTCTTCTTCTCCGAGAGAGCATGAAGAAGAAGAAGAAAAATAAGTGTGACGTGCGGCGTAAGCAAAATGTCTCTCACTAAACTTTATATTAAAAACTGTGTTAAGAGACATTTGGCTTCTGGTGCATTAATATGGTAGGATTTCTTTTGTTTCTTAATGTCTCTTACTAATAGGAGAATGGTGAAGAGAAGGAACAAGAAGTGGTAGCACGAATACTCTCAAGATTTAAACCCAAAGAAGTAAGAAGAAGAGAGACAAATCAATGGAGAAGAAGAACAAGTCAACAAGACACAAACAAGGATATGTTGATTGAGAGATTGAGAATCGAGATGGATCAATCTGTTGACAAACGAATCTTCATCATCATCATCAACGCAGAAACAACTCAACAAACCACTTTCTTCTCTCTGCTTCCCTCAGCACAAAGCCCGCCATTAAGAACAAATGTCCAGCAACAATACAAAGGCAAAGCAGCATAAGAAGAAGCTAAGCCAGAGACAGAGAAGATCATCACAAAGTCGTTTCCTTTATCAATGGCTGATCATAATGCCAAACTCAACGAATCATCATACAGATTCGGTAACCAAATCCCCTTTTCCGACAAAGGCATGTCCTGGCTCAGCAGGATAGCTACAAGATGCCGAAACTGTACACATCTTCAGTTTCTGCTCACATGCTTAGATGCAACAGGTTCCATTCTTGCTATAATCTGCTCACATGTGTCCAAAACTGCAGCACCGTAAATATCAGAGCTTGCAGAAGCAGCAGTCGGTGATGCATTTGGCCTTAAGTGCTCTGCTTGTAACAGAGTTCCATCTTATATATCCATGAAATTAGCATTTGCCCGCCCACCAAAGAGGCTCTAATAAATATGTATAACCTCCATACCCTGCAACTGCATCATCAAGTGAATTCCAATTCCATGTCAGAATTTTTGTGGTTTCTTATCAAACTGTCATCCACTAAAGATAAGAGTCAAAGAAGCTCTAGACTGTTCACAGAAATTAAGGAAAACTGAGGGAAAGATTTTACATTTCTGGATTAAACAAGGCAACGAAAAACTGTTAAGTGCAAGTGAAAAACCACGAGCCATTGATTTTAGCTAATTAATCAGCAAGACATTACAACTATAAGATTTTCTCAACCTATGACCAAAACGCCAACTTAGCCTAACTTGTTAAAAGATCAATGAAGATTTCTCTGTCAAGACTGCAACACACAAGCAAAGCACAAACTGAACTATAAATCATTTTGCTCATAGTCTCATACAAAGCAACCAGAACTATATTAAAAACAGATCAACACATGGTTTCACAATAGATACAACCTCGAAAAATAAAGTATACCTTTGGTGGAGAATCAACAGCTCTGCTCTGTCCTGTAAAAAACAGTTGTTCTTCTAACCATGCATCCATTGCAAGAAGTAAACATATCACTGAAAGTAAACATATCTCTCACGGTGTGCTCCAGATTCTCCGTTTGCATGCAATTGACTACATCAGTGAAAAGTGATGAAACGTCCTTTCCAACAGTCATTGCTGCAATGGCCTTCTTAACAGCATCTTTCCTCTTATCCTAGAAACATAAAAGAAGAAAAGTTATGTTAGGAAACTGAAGCAAAAAGAGAAACGCATGCCACCATCTTGAATCAGTACCATTGGCGTCTAATTAAACTGTAAACTTTTGCTCGACATTGTAACGAAAATTTCATACTTACTGTATCTTTCTCAGTATAATTGGAACAAGAATTTGCAAGAGAACACACTTCAGTAATCGAAATCAAAATCGACCAGTAAACTAAGGAAAGACTTCGAATTTCATTAAAAGACACGATTCTGCTCCAACTACGCTGATATTTTGCGAAACACAAGACAGAAAACCTAAATTAAACGCCAATTACAACCAATTTTTGAAGAAAACTTACCATGCAAAAGTTTTGGCAGATTCGTTGAAGCGAATGTCTGATTTCCCTGCAGCTTCTTCGTCGATTCGTCTAAGCTCATCTTGTTTTCGGCCAGACCACCGTTCGAGAGTAGATTTGGGTGAAATTTCTCAGTGAAATTCGAAGAAGAATGGAAGAGTAGCCGAATCGCCTCGGAGCGAGGAAGAAGAGAGGGAAAGGCGAAAGTGAGAAAATGAGGAGAAGGAAAAAAACATTTCGCGGTCCAATCATAACTCGCCACGTGTCACTAACAGACGTCTCTTATTTCTTTCAGAAGCGACGTTTTCACATTAAATTCGCATTTTTTTATTTATTTAATTGAGTAAACAGTGTAAGAAATGCTGGTTACATAGTACATACACCAATAATGATGCTCTAATAAAATCCCTAATTTTACATGTAATAATGAAACTAAGTATTACTGGAGGCCAGATTCCAAGAGACCAAGACAGGCCCAACAGAACCAGGCCCAGTCACGTCAAAGCCTGAAAACAAATATGTTAGCTTGTGGCAAACCCTGATGACGAGCTGCATTACACAACCCACAATAAGAAACGGAAAGTTTGTAATTTGAATCGATAAAATGTAAAACGATACTGATATACGACTTAGGAATTCACAACCAGGGTTCATTAATTTATATCATACATTTATTTATTTTGACATCAAACCCCATATATTTCTAAGATAGCTTCGGAAGCTAACCAACTCGGAACTGTAGAGTTTACATAGGAAAAAAATCAAACCACGTGCTCAGACTCTTTTTGAGAGACAATCGGCATGGACATTACGCAAACATGGAATAAAAGAGATAGAAAAAGAACTGAAAGATGAATAAATAAGATAGAAATCGTCGAACTCGTTAGCCAAAGATAGCCAAATATGTTAGCTGTAGGCAATCTGATTCAGAGGTCATAGACGTGATTCTCATAAGAGAGCCGCTAATTTCTTTCATGGCCCATATATATCATACCTGCATAAATTTCCATTGGGACATTTTGAGAAAGCTTGACCTTTTAATGATTGGGCATCCAGTAAGCATGGATTCCAAATGTATCAATTGGCAATCATCGCAAATACATGAACTTTCTTGTGCTTTGATGATACCAACACAAATGATCGTGATTTCATCACCCGAGCATGAAGCATCCATGCTGTATCATGTTCATCAAACAAAACCTCGATTAGCGGATTCACGAATTACTTTCGAAAGAGTCCACCAAATTTCCACTAAACAAACGTTCGATTAGCGAACTAACGAAATGTTCTAATTGCTCCACCCATTTTTCTTTTCCCGTTTACTTGGTTTTTAGCAAATAACCCCTTTGCTTTTCTTTTGTTGCCATCCTTTACCAGTTTTTGCCCATATACTTTTTTCAAATCTTCTACAGTTGACCCTTTAGTATTTTACTTTCTTTTTAGTCCTCTAAGAAATTATACTTCGTGTCGAAAATAAGTGTAGGTGATTGTATGGAAACAAATCAGTGAGATTAGCATCGGTAAGTAACTGTTTAATTGTTGAAAATTTAGTTTAAATAAGTGGTTAATAATATTTTAGCAGAATTAAATTTTTTTAAACTCGTGAATAAAGGAATGTTTTGTAACCAATTGGGAAATATATGTTACTAACTAATAGTAGTGAATTATATTTTGACTTTTATAATTGAATAAAAGATAGGATGACTTGAGTAGCAGTGTAGCTCAGAACTATTGTGCCTATGCCCTATGGTATAAAAGACAGTTGTATGTAATATTGAATAAAACAAAATTTGCAGACATGGAAACATCTCGTCCCTTGATCTTGATGAGTGGATAAGCATGTTAAATTATCCATTAGAGCAGATCCCATGCTACTCGCCGCGCGTGTCGCCCCCAGTTTTAGTGGGCTATTTGGTACAGAAAATAATTAATAGTTTAATACTAGTACTATTTTAGCGTGTCGATCAAATTAAATCATAAATGGGCCCACGATATGTCACGTTTCAGTCTAGTACTCAGCATCAAGTGGCAAAACTCTAGTCGAATGTAAAAACTAAAAACAGATGACAATATTTTCGGTTAATTCATGTTTTATCGTTTGGTGGCATAGCAAGTACAGTAGGTGTTTGTTTTTCATTTTATGGCGTCATTTGTATATAACTATGCAAAAGACACATATTTCTTAGAAAAGTTGTAAGAAAGTGCATAGCATAGTAGCTGAGATTACATTTCAAAAACTATATTGTAAATTAGTAGTTAAAACAGAATGACTAGTGACTAATGAACAAGTTTGGCTTATGTAAAGATCAGGAATCTTCCAAACAGAGAAGTACTGATCGAGCAGCTGCATGAAAAAAATACAAGATTGCTTGGATAAAAACAATACTAAGATTCAAGTGTTTTCCATGGGACAAAAAGTGTTCTTTTAGTGAGCTCTACTCTATGAGGCTTTCGTTTCGGTAGGAAATAAGATTCAGGAGGCTGCGAGTAGGAATCAGAGATTCCATGTTGAATCGGTATTAGGATTGCGTAACATTTCAGAGATTACATGTTGAATTATGTTGAGATAAAGATAAGAATGTCTCTTTTTCACCGCGACGTGTACGTGTATAGAGAAATCAAAATAAAGATGAGAATGTCTCTTCTTCACCACTACATGTATAGAGAAATCAAAGACACTCCAACATGGATACTGTTATTACATGTTGAATTATTTTGAGTAAAAATAAAAATGTCTCTTCTTCACCACTACGTGTACGTGTTTAGAGAAATCGAAGACACTTGTAGACACAAGGATATTCAAGAAGAGATTAAAAATATATTATAATCTCATATCAATCAACATCAAGAAACTATCGACTATCGTTACAATTTACAAACAGATAACACAGTGGCCACTAAGCTGAGCAATAATGCGCATAGAAGATCGTGTCGAACGGAATTAGAAGCCGACTAATCTCCGGCCTCAGAAATATCCGGCGCCAACTTTGAAGTCAATCTATCCAACGCAACGCATTAGCTGGTGGTGAATCGGGTGAGACCGGTGGCTGGTTCGCTGGAGCAGTTGCGGGCGGTTTTATGGAAGCAGTGGGGCTCGTCGTCGGAGCGGAGGAAAGAGACTTCACTGGAATAATAGTCGGAGGGAACACCGGGGTTTTCACCGGAGAAGTGGCGGGAGAAAAAACAGGGGACTTCGAAGGAGATGCAATGGGGTAAGAGGACACAGGGGATTTCAACAGAGACGCAATGGTCCTGGAGGATACAGGCAGGGGAAGTGGCCGGAGCAAAAGCAGGGGATTTCAATGGAGACGCAATGGTCGGAGAGTAAACAGGAAAACTAGCCGGAGCAACACCAGGGGATTTCACAGGAGAGACAACGGTTCGAGCAGATCTTGGAGAGGAAACATGTTTTCTCGCCGGAGACTTCCCAGGCGTCGTCGGATGTAAAGTAGGGATTGGAGGAAACGTCGGAAACTTTGATGATGAAGAACCGGAGGTTGTACCGGAGGAGTGATAAACTGACTGGTGCGTTGTCGGATTGGACAAACTGACACATCGTTTCTTAATTTTGAAAAACACAAAATCTGTAAGAAAAAAACATATTCGCAAGTTTTAAATAAATTACTTTTTTAAAAAGAGAGTTTTTTACAAACATGAAACGCTGTGTATTTGTGATAGAGGTATGACCGTTGGAGGCGCCTATATGTTATTGACTGGCTTTAGGAAGTGAAGTAGCCGTTAACCAAAAAAAGACGACATGAAGTTTTATTTAGAGAAGATAAGACGACGTGACAATCGAGACAACCGTCTAGAATTGTAAGCTTTTGAGTTTCAAAGTAAATCATGGACAACGAAGTCAAAGTTTGTCAGCAAGCGATGTATATAATGTACATGTAAGACTGTATTTCTATCATTCTATGCTGTGCCTGACATCCATATCTCCGACAATACTTTTTGCTCAAGAACTTTAATATTACATTGTCTCTAAATCGTAGGTTTTCTGTAGAGAGATTCAAAAAAATACTAGTAGATCACAAAAGAGACCACGCGAAGGAAGGCGTGACTGAAGTATCAAATTCTTTTCCTCACATGAATCAGTAATTCAGTATATATGGCGTAGAAGATAAGATTTATTCAATATACAATCTTTATGGAGAGCGTATGTTTTACTTGGAGAACCGGAGGGGAAGTCAAACTGACACTGCATTTAATTATAAAATCACATAACAATATCGACTGAAAATGTTGAGGCCTGAGAGGGTAAACATTGATACAAAAAACTATGGTTTTGGAATACAGTATGTTAGTTGTGACAGTGTACATGCTGTGATAATATATATGTAAAAATATAAAAATAAAGTTGTTCAAGCTCAACACATGAAAAACACTCGAAACCCAAATCATGACCCTCCACAGACAAATTTCGCACTCAAAGAAATCGATCATAAGGCTATCACTAGTTTGCCCTAAACTCAATTTCAATTTGTTCACCACACGTCGTGGTATTTGTTTTTGTTTGATTTACGGTGTGGCTCGTCTATTTTCTCCACTTTTTCGCCTCTTGTTCTAGATCTGTTTTTCTAGATCTGTTTTTCTAGATCTGTTTTGCTAGCACCGCCGTTCAAGTTTGTGTGTCTTCCGTGGAGATCCGTGGGAGCCGGGAGACTATAATTGTCTCGCCAGGCTGTGAAGGCTGGATTCATGTGTTGAATCGCAGTTGTCGTCGTGCTTCTTCTAAGAAGCTTATGGTACCGTTTGATTTGGCCTCAGGCATCTTTCGGTAAGTGGTATTGGTTTCTCTTGGAGTCTTTCAAGTTTCTATGTTAGTGAGATCGATTAGGCTGGTGCTCCTTCTTTGTCGGGTTTTCCTACTTCTGCTCTTTCTTCTTCAAGCTTGGAACCTTTGTGTTTTTAGACTTTTCGGCTTCTGTAATTTAAAATTTCCCTTGTCTCCCTCTTTTGGGCTTAGTCTCCGGGGAAATCTTGTTTTCCTCCGGCTTCAGTTTCCGGAATTGTATTGTCCGGCGGCGTTTGTAACAGTTCAAGTTTCTAATGAAAATTTTTTAGATGAAAAAAAAAAAAAAAAAAAAAAAGTACATTAAACACACCCTTCAATTTCTTAACATTACTTTTGTGGCAACGTCACTATCAAGTATCAACTACATGATACTATAATATTAAGGTGCTGCTTTTTTAAGTATTACAATATGTTACAGATTAATATAATAGTAGTACAAGTCAAGGCATATAGAACAAAGTGTAAAACGGAAGTCATATGTTAAAAAGAGAAAATAAAAAATAGATGAATGAACATTCGAAAGATCTAGTATGGGGCACCTGCGAGGCTGCGACTGATAACATTATCTGACATCCCAGAAAAAGAATGTCAGATACTATAATCTGCATGATCTGTAACATAAGACTTATCATATCATATCCGATTTGTTTACCGAAATATATTCGGACACCTTCTGGGAAACATAAAATCAAATTCCTTCCGAAATTATGGATTTTAAGAGAAAACTTAAAATTAAATACCTTCTGGGAAACATAAAATCAAATTCCTTTCATTTCTCTCTTTAGCATTTCACAGTTAAAAATTGTTTGACTGAAAAGAAGAAATCTATTGAGAGAGAGTAGGTGTTTTTGTTTTAAATACCAAGAGACATAGACAACACAATACAAATACAATGTCAGACTTAATTTTTAACAAGTTAAAATAAAAGGTATGAATATTATACTGGAGAAGGTTACAAGAAGACGAGGAAGGGATACGAAGATTGATATTCTTCTTGGGAAGAGTAAATCTTAGTAATATTTAAGTAGCAGTCGACAGTTACATATATACATGTATAAATTAGTACTAAATTCCAACTGTTTGTACACCAACAAAACAAACAAACAAAGTTGGTATATGGCTAAAATAAAGGGTTTTCTGCAATTTAATCATGGAAGTGATATATTTGTGCAAATCAATCTTCCAATCTAAAAAATGCAATTTAAACCCACAAAGTCTAAAATGGCAAAATAAAAATTGCCCAAAAAAAAAAAGTAGTTTTGTATAGATGAAATTATATGATGCGTCATCAAATTTTCCTCACTTACAGTTTTTTTTTTCTTGAATATATTAAAAGGATTTTATTTATTTTTAGATGAAAGAAGAGAGAGAAGATCATAGGAAAGGATTGCAGCTTCTGTTTCCCAACTTATTGATCGCTTGCTTTAAATTTAAAGGAGAGAGAGATAGTAAAGGCAAATTAAAGAAATGTACCTTCTGTTTGCAGATACAAAACGTAAGAAGACGATAGAAACCCTGCGGAACGCTAAAACACGCTACTTTATCTCTGCACGATGATGACGTGCACCATCATTTACTATGGTTATTTTATTACTTACTATATGTAAAATAGAAATCCTCATTTGATACAGTTTGAAGCTCGAATCATATCCAAGAAATCACCGATATTATATTTTGATCTATTCATCAACTTCCCTTATATTTTAGTTAGGTTAACTATTCACTAGTTGCTGACCAAAAAAAAACTATACACTACTTTTCCTTTTGCTATTTTTAAGAAACGTTCGTAGAAGTATTATGTTAAGAGATTCAGCTATAGCCAAGCCTATAAGTATGTAGGCTCTGCACAGCTAAAACCAATGAATTAATCATAATGTACAACTTTTCTTCCTCTTGTTGTTCTGAGAGCTAATTTAGTTTTTCGTTTTCTAAACACGAATTCCAACAAAAATTGTGAGGTAGACATGAAAATTTATGGAGCTTACCAAGAAATGATTGTGACACCATCTAGTCATAGCTCTAGTGGACGCATCCACATCCTGTCAACCATATTGAATTGTACCAGCACCTCGATCCCACGAATATCTTCTCAGGATCATGTTAAATTTTATCAAGCAAAAATTAATTTAATGTGCTTGATGTTTCATTACTCCAGAATTAATATGAGAGTCTGATCATTTGCAAAATATTTTTATATTCGAGTTATCTTTTGTTCCCCAACACATCTTCTGAGTACCATACATTGACTGCATCTGCATGATACTATGATATTAAGGTGCTGGTTTTTTAAGTATTATATTACTGTTTTATAATAATAGTACAAGTCAAAGATATAAGAAAATGTAAAACGGCAAGTCAAATGTTAAAGAGAGAAAATTAAAATTAAGAAATAGACCCATAAATTAACATACGAAGTGGATGAGCACCTGCGACTGCAGCAAAAAATAGATAAAATAAATATATTATTAACACACATCCCAGAAACAAATGTCAGAGCTCTATAGAAGACAGCTGTCCGCGATCGATTTTTTTCGGAATTGAATTTACCCTTTATTTAAATTATATCAAAACTAGGGCTTCCCCTGGTTTCTTCATAAATAAGCAGCTTCCCTTCACTTCAGTCATTTTAGTTTCACCCACGCCAGTCTCACACCACTTGACACAGATCTGCGAGAAAAGAGGTAACACCTCTTAGTTTTTTTTTGGTTTTATCAATAAAATCATTTTAATAACTCTTGTAAGAGACCTTTTTTTTTGTTACTTTGATGGTGAAACATTAAGAGATGTCTCCTACACCTTTCTGATCAATCATTCTCCTTCCAATAATTTCATTTTTGTTTTTACTTGTATCTGCAGGTTTTGGTTTTGTGTTTTGATTTGTGTTGGAAATCATAAGTTAATACGAAGAAGTTAATACATATAACAAAAATGTCAATTGCATAAACATGGTCAATAGTCTTCCTCTCAACTTCCCAAAACCGTAGCAAATGAGTAACCATACCCTAACTATACTTGCTGCAATGGCTAATAAGTCTTCTTGCCTAGTGGCTCTTCAAAGCTTTAACATAATCAGCAATAGATAGCATCAGAGGATACATATTTTGCTAGCTAATGTTTGTTTCGTTATAGTTTATACTATGATATTGGTAAATCAAAGACACCATCACCAGATTGCATTGTATACAGAGATAATTGCTAGAACTAGCACGCACATACATTTGAATCTACTAAAACAAAATTTTCAGTATAATTGCTCAAAATTGATCAAGCATACTCTCGTAAGTTAACGAACAAACATATAATCAAGTTTACAAACAGACATATAATGTGTCATATAATCAACTTTAGGATCCTAAACTAAAGTATCAAAGATTTTGTAACTTACCTATGTTTTGAATAATTATGATGTTATGTCTCAATAATTTGTTTGGATTCCTTAGATCTAACTTCGTTGTTTTTAAAGCCAGCCCATATTACCTTCCTTACAATTAATTATAGTTAAAAATAATTATTAAGCTTAGTCGTATTGACATTTTTATAGTATACTATCAGTTCGATTATTTGAATCTTTGACTTCAAAGAAAAATCTATATATTTAATTAAAACCGCTTTCTTCTTTTTCTTTATCAGGTACCACCATGACTGCAATTATGGATTTCCGTTGGAATGCCAACACATTCGATGCAGTGTACCAGTGCACTTGCAAGTGCATTGTGCATGCACATGTCCTGATTAGTGGGCACATCTTCGTGCATGTTCCTCTTCCGTACACGCACCCGGTTGTGAATGTGACGTGGAATACGCAAACGACTTGCAAGGTGCAGATTGTATGCGGCTGTGGACTTGTAGCTAAGTTCGAGATTGTGGACAACGATGGTTCAGTGACATTCTTCCGTTTGTAGTTTATTTTATTATTGTTATTTTGTATTAAATGGAGATAATGTGTTAAGTATTATTATCTATGTTTTGTAATAGATTTATTATGTTTATTGAGATATATTTATGAGTTTTAAGTTTAAATTATATTTCTTTTGTCTCCAATGCAAAGCTTTTATTTCTTGAGTATAATCGTACCACAGAAACTTGAGAAATGAAGTCTTAGGACAGGTGTTACGGGATTATTGATTTTAGTGTACTTTTATGCATTTTTTAGGTTTTAGTTAATTTGAAGGAGGGGCCATTCTCTAACATGAACTTTCCGCATGTTCTAATTAGGCGAGATTTGATTAGGTTCTACTATTGAATTATGAATTGTCTTCCCCTTCAGATTTTTAAATGTAAGCAAAATATTTGTTCTTTCATGCTTTCTTTCTGTTAAGAATGTTCAATTTATTTATGTACAATTTTTTTTTTTAATCCAAAATATTGATAAAAATTTAAAATAACAAGAAATTTAAAAAAGAAATAAAAATCCCAAGAATCATCAATATTATGTCTTAAGGCGATTTCGAGGCGATTTGGCGGTTACCACCGTCTATCATCACGTTCCTCTTTTTGAGGACGGTTTCCACCCTCACTGCGGTCGTGAATCTGTCTTTTGACGGTTTCATCACCACATTGTCCAACTCCGTAGTGGATCTCGTGGGCCTTTACGATGAATTGTGGATCTCCATCTTCCGATATCGAGATAAGTATAAATACCTTCTCCATGTACTTCATCTTCATCATCTCCCTCATACCCTTTCAATCTCACTGTTTCTACTTTGCTACTGAAAATTCTCACCTTTACCACAGAAAATGGCTAACAACTTACGCAATGCAATCCAAAATCTCAATTTGGGATTAACGACGAACCAATTGCTCTCCCCATCGACGTTTGCTCCGAAGCGGTCCAAGTCAACCAATTCTCTTTGATTGGCCGGGCCCTCATTCCTCGCCGACAAAACCTCCGCGCCATTGTCGCCTTATTGCCTTGTAACTGGGGCCTTACGGGGGTCATTTCTGGCCGGGTCATCGAACAGTGGCGGTTTCAATTCGTGTTCCCCTCGGAGCATCTGATGCAGTCCGTATTGAATCGAGGACCCTGGGCCTATGGTGAACGAATGCTCGTGCTTCAACGATGGAAGCCGGATTTGGATGACTCGGATCTGAATATCATTCTATTTTGGGTTCAGATCAGAGGAATCCCAATCCAATTCTTGACAAGAAATGTGATCTATCACATCGGTGACTTCTTGGGTTATGTGGACACAATCAATATCATCCCAGAAGCATCGGCAGCGGTCCAATTCGTGAGAGCGAAAATCTTGTGGAAGGTGACGAATCCACTGCGCTTACAGAAGAACTATCAGTTTACACATGGTGTAAACACGGTCCTCAAGTTCAAGTATGAACAGTTGAGGGGATTCTGCGAGGGATGTGGAATGCTTACACACGACACTGGCGAATGCATCCCGAATGATGATGCCCACTCACCAGGCAACAATGACAATGACGACGCTGATGATGACGATGGCAACCAGATGGAGGAGGAACATGTTCACATACCGGATCCAATGATCCAACAACCAAACCAGCCAAACCCGGCGGGTGCAGGAGTTATCAATGGAGATATTCTGGAGGATTACAATGGTGTAGGGGAGTTTTCATCTGCAGATGATAGTTCCCCAATCCCATTCACAGAAGAGATGGCACGCCCAATCCCAGAAAAAATTGAGGATCAGGTGCAGAGGAAGAGATGCTTTGTGGATGCGTTAGTGGAGGATATGTTCAGGGAATCGCAGAGCCTCCAAATTCTGGTAAAGTTCTTTCTGATGATGATCATCATCATATTATACTGCAATGGGAAAGTAGAATGGATAATGATGTTCGTTTGAGCAGTATGGTAGTTTTATGGGTTACAATGTCTTAGCAGAGATAAATTCGGAGCCAGAACCAACGATGAAGAAAGCTAGGTTGAGTGGAGAAGCGTCAGAATCAGCTGAGATTGGTCAGGAACAAGACTCATTGGGAAAACTACAAGCGGATTACATGGGATCAGGAACCCCATTCCCAAGCCTGAATTCAATAGACAGAGGCGCGGTGGGCCCGGTAACACCACTTGTTCCATGAGAGTTGAGGTGTGGAACTGTCGAAGGCTAGGGAAATCCCTCACAGTTCGACGTCTTAAAGAGATACAAAGGGTGTATCTCCCAGACTTGTTGTTCCTAATCGAAATGAAGAAGACCGATGATTATGTGAGAGATATTGGC